AAAATTAACAATCTATAGTATAAAATTAACAATCTATAGTATAAAATACACATAACACGTGGTTACTTAACGTTAGCAACAAATTATGTTAAGTAATCGAAACTTTAAAGCTACATCATAAATTCTAAAATCGCGGCCCATATTATCAATTAATGCATTTGGAGTAAGGTATAGCCAAGGTTGTAATAAACATTTATGTAATAAAGACCTGTTTCTCTAAAAATAAATTATCTATAATCATAACAAATATATTATGTGTCAAGAACTATCTATACTAAAGTTAAAAATTGCGTTATTAAATCTCGACAGACGTGGGAATTCTACGTGACAAAAGTATTTTCGGCTGCCTGAAAAGCTTGAGGCTTAAATTGATCTCAATATCGGCATTAAGTTTCTCTAAAAACTAATAAATTAATCTGTAATCGTAATAACCATTCCGTAAAAACTATGTATGTAAGTAGAGTGTACATTAAAAGTATCGCATTAGAAAATTTCGACAAACGTCTGGGGTAGGACATCCACATCAAGTGTTCGGCTATAAGTAAACAAAAAAAGGATCCTGTCGATCCTATCCCTGATGTGTCACGATCAATCGTATCACTTGCGCGTGAGTAGGTACATTTGGGTAAAAGTACTCTTGGAAATAGGTATCACCATCAGTAATTCATTGTGCGTTGACCCAGGGTTTACTTCTTCTTAGCCTTCTTCTTCTTGGATACCTTGAACGGTCCAAGCTGCTTCCTAACGAGTATTCCTCTCCACCAAGCTTGGACCATGATGGCACAACGAGTCATATCGCTGATATACTTCTGAGCTTCTGCGCGTTTGCGTTTGAATTCGGTCCAATCCCACATTTGTTTGTTATGCAATGATATCTGTAAAAGAATAGTGTGAGGCGGATTGCACTAGAATATCAAATAACTAATACTCGACCAAATTAAAAAAACGCGTGATGCGAATAAAGCTTCATACTTGACAGGGTTTTTTTGATTTGGTCGGGTATTATATCGCACTGCTATTACAATAGTGTTATAACTCAAAATATGTGAAATTCAAGATTATACCATCGTTAAACGTAAAATTTGATTCTTTACACGTCAATAAAACCGTCGTTAGAATATTGTAAAAAACAACTAAAAGATATCTATTTAACTACTTAACTCAAAATGAGACACGCCTTATGTGAGCTAGTTCTGGCCGAAAGTCTTTATTCAAAAATATGAAATTATTTTTTCTCTTTTATTTTTAAATATATATATATTTGGCAAGTAGGAAATAACCTATACATAAATTTACACAGATCTTTCACGGGGAGCGAGTAATCGAAATCGAATTCCTTTTTCGTCGATTCTGAGAAAATACACTTTCTCGAGTTAATACACTACTTTATTAAGAGTGCGACATAAGTGACAGTAATTATTTTGGATGGATGGAAGGAGAACGGGAGTGAAAGGAGTAAGGTCCAAACGATAGTTTTCTACAAAAAAATTAACATGGCATGAGCGATCCTAGAATTTCATTTGCGGCAATGTAGAAATATGTTAAGGCGAAGTATTTGAATGCAAGCCTACATTTTAAAAAGTGAGGTGTAGTGGATCGCCACTCGCATCCCGCAATCCGCGCGCTTAAAATTAATATGAATATTATAAGAACGGACGGAGAAATATTGACACAAATCCGATGTTGACAAACGCCCGATGGCGACCGACGGCGCAGCGGGCGTCGCGACGTGTCGTTAAACCGCTGGGCGGTTTTCAAGTTTTGGGATAAATATAAATTTAACTTAATAATAACCATCTTCAGTCCAGGCTGAAGTTGAAAACCAAGATGTAGCAGGTTCTCAGTAGTACATAAAGAGAAATATCTCCATACAAAAATTATGTGCAGAATGAGATATTTATAATTCGTTGTAGACTTTTAAAGGTAAAGTAAATCCTACCGTCCAACAAATTAGTACATTCTTTAGACTTTAGACAATAATCCTTAGGTTTATCTTGTATTTTTATAAGGCCGTTATTTAATAGTAAATACCTAAACCATTTGATCTAGGAAAACCAGTTTTTCCCGCTTGTCCTCCGATGATTCGCCTCAACCTCCAGCCGTACCAACTGTAGTCACAATGGGAAAAGCGCTAAACGCCCAATGGTTATAATGGCCATATACATATAATACTACCTGCCCCCGTAGCATGGCTACGCATGATAGTCGCGACCTAAATTAGATCTGATTGAGACAGCCAATAGCGCGCGCTTATCTCAATTTTATCGCGCGTGTCGCGACAAGCATGCATAACCATGCTACGGGGGCTGGTGCCCATATTTTTCTAAGTACCATATGGCCATATACATATAATAAAAGAAGCCGTCAAGCGGTCGGCTTTGCGAACGGTCGCTAGTAATGTGCCGAAACATAGATATTGTACAATATTTGCTCAATTATTATTTATGTCGCCGCAAATGAAATCCCACCACATTAATATTTGCTCGAATCCAATTACCTGCGTTCGGACATAAATTTATTAAAATCTTTTATATAAAATGCACTTTAACAAACTACAATACTTATTTATCTCTAGGTACAGTCAAGAGCAAATCAATCTTAACGTAAGCGGCATAGAGATGGATATAAGTCTTAAGTGTCAAGCTTGACGTGCTCTTGACGCTGTACCTAAATGTTTCAAACAAGTTTAGCAACCTTTACACACAAATTATCAAAAGTTTTGTACACAAAAACTATCCCCAATCACTGGGCCAGTCCAGGAACTGCTGCTAGAATGAATATCTCTCAAATTGTAAGTAAAATAAGTAACGTGCAAAAGTTTCATACGTTTATATAAAGCAAAGTGACTGTTTACATTATATTTTTAAATAATAATATAGAAAAATCCTGACTACTAACATAAATAAAAGCAAAATATAAAACAAACGATTTTGAAATTGAAATTAGATTTAGATTCGAACTCCAGACTTTTAGTATTTACTATACTTTGGACGAAAAGGACACTAGACCATACCTTTGTATGTGTGTAACTAAGTTTCAAGCAGAAATTATATGTACATACTCCTGGACACATAATTCGAGCCACCTCGCATTTTTGTCGTAAAGGGTTAGAATACAAAAATAGTGTTATCCTAAAAGTTTTCCCCCGGTTTTGCAAATCCAAATTCGCAACAAGGACTTATGGAAAAACGTTTAGTATACTAGTTTCAAAATTACACAATAGTTTTTGATCAAAACACAAACACTGAAAATGCTTGGTGGCTCGAATTGTGTGTCCAGAAGTGTATAATTATTTATATCTAATTGAAAGATTGTAGTGAAAAGTTACATGAATATTAAATGTATTATGAATTCCTACTTTTGCGTTTACAATAAAGTATAACTTTTGGCTGCCAATTTTGCAAAAATCGAAAAACTATTATTTCGCCTTACCAACGCCATCTAGTGGCCATTAGATTACATAAAACCGGGACAAATTACTATAACGACGCCACGTCTAGAAATATTCACATCCCTTATCCGTCTTAGCACAATGTGGTGATCTATGGTCCAAAAGGCTAAAATCGGTTGAGGATGAACATTTTTTACCCCTTTTAGAAGAACAATAACATAAACTCACCGTGTCTTCTAGACGTATTCGCGTATTCAACCTATCCAGATATTCGTTCCTCTTTACCTGTATCTTTAGGTCTATAATTTCCGAGTCTTTATCGTACTTGTCCATCCAATCTTCTATTTCATCCAAGGTATCCTACAAATGAAATTATTTTCTGTAGACTTGTACTATACCAAAAACATTACGGACTAAACTTTTCAGTGTCCAAGTGAGTAAATTCACGCGGTTTTCATTTAGTCACTGTTGTACCTACTACTCGGCCATTCTCACATTTTGATGTTCTCAGCATAATTACCGTAGCCATTTCGGTGTCCTCTGCCTAATTACCGTAGCCATTTTCATAGCTTAATATACCCAATAACATTGAAATATGAACAACTTTAAGCTTAACTATCAATATGTATATATTGTTATATATATTGTTTCATGTTGGTGGAAATTCGTAAATGGCATTGGATTACTCATATTTAAGTAAACTATAATTGTATTATTTGTCCGTGAATTTTCCTAAAATGCTTAAATAAATCAAAGTGTAAATGACATTCGAATAGACAACGTAGTTTTCGAGTTATTAAGAAACAAATATTTTATGGAAACGGTAATTAGATCGGATTACCGTAGTAATTAGAAAGTCCAAACATTTTTAAGAAAAATGTCTGACACAGATGTGATGGCTGTATTTCTAGTGATATTTAGTGCCATTCAAGATTTTTTGATATAAATTTTAAATTGAGTTTTTAATATTTGGTTAGTGGTAATGATTAAAAATTACTCCAATACTTTCTTATGATTAATCACAGCTGTTACAAGAACAGTGTAATAATTTAGATTTTGATTATTTCTGCCGACAAAAACCTCAGCGCCCAGTTACACGAGGCGAAAGTTCTCGGGCGGCCGCCGCGCGGTGATCGCCCAAGTACCACGTCTTCACGTCCACATTAATTGGATATAATAAGCGAGAACACTGAAATGGCTACCTGTAATTAGGCTCAGAACACCGAATGTGAGAATGGCCGTATTCTGGTACATAGTACAGGTAATTCCTTAAAATATGGTGCAGCATTAAAAATTAAATTAAATTTATTGAAAGTGAATCATTCTTTCGCGGCGAATAGAAACAGTCTCACATGACCAACTTATCACAAGTAAACGTGGCATAGGTGTAATTTTTATCTAGTTTTAAATGGCAATAAATTTCTTCGGTACAAATTTTCCTGATAGTATTTCACAATCAATTTATTTGTGAAAACACGTGTTGTATAGAAGCTGACATTGTACGTACAATAAGTATAGTTTCAGTGTCCGGTCAAATATTAGGCACACAAATATTGAGGGTATATTATACATTGACTCACTTGCACTTCAACAGACTAAACACAGTGTAACAATTTTTTTAAATAATATCACGTAGATTTAATAAGTCAATCAGTAATGTAAATTTTAATGATATTAATTAGAAAATGTGCCTAAATGTCAGAATAATAATTATTTGAATAGCGTCAAGATAAAGATAGCGCCTAAAAATTAGATAATGAATTTAGAGATTTGTCGTCATTTCGTAAATAATAATTATAACGTAATGGACATTTTTAGAGAAATTTAGTTTTTACCATATCTGGAATTAGCGAAACAAGATCTATAACGCTCTGTTAGCTGTTTATATGTTATTTAGATATCTCTTTTATCATTATTAATACAAGATTGAACACTAAGAAAAAAAATCCTTCGATCCAACTGATCTGGATTCGAACCAACGTCTTCCAGCAACGTGTCAGACGATATGCCAACTAAGCCACGGAACGAACTAGCAGACGTTATGAATTGTTTTATGTGCTTGTTGCAGATCTTTTTTCCTGGTTTTTAACGACTTTTTGCCGTAGCGCCATCTGTGACAAATCTATTTCTTTACTCAGCCAGGTATCTTTACAGCTACCAGTCGCTAACTAGAGATGTAGCTTTAATAATTCAAATTTTTAAGTTTATTGAATGTCACAATGTTTGATAATTTCACAAACATTGTTGCATATCATGCTGATCAAACGTCGTGACATTCAATCATCGAGTAAAATAACCTGAAATAGAGACGAAATGTCATTTATTTTGTTTGAAAACTATTCTGCCATATCATTACGGTGAATTCTAAACAATTGACGGGTGTCGTCAATTGTCAATTCGACCAGTTTAACTTGAACTTTGCTATAATGGACGAAAATTGAAAAATTACTCAATATTTAATTACCGAAGAAATGTGACTCCGTTTGATTTGTAATTAGATGTTTTGCTGTAATTCCCACACCACCGAATGGAACAGCTCCCATAGTAAAACATTATCTTTATTACAATAAAATGTAGACCATTTTTGGAATACGAGACGACGTACACAACACAGGTCAGTTGTTAGCGTTGTACTATTTCAACTTTCTAATTTGTGACTTCAGTACAAACGAGAGTTGATATTTAAAAGTGATATAAGACCAATTTGCCTGATGAGTTGCCAGGGATGGATGGCCCTTATTTCGTTTCTGTTTCTGGTTATAAACAAAATCAGCATAATTGAGCTTTTTCAAAACTCTTTAGGTACCAATACCTCGAAAGTTACCAATGCAAATGCATTACTTATGATAAGGAAGACAGTGTAGGTGGTGCATTTTATTATACTACAAATTTTCTAGGACGATCCCTGTGACACTTCACAATATTCTCTATAATATAACCTTGTAACGAAGTCTACTAATTTACGTATATAAAATGCGTGTTTTTATAAATCTCAACTATTTTTATAAGTCTCGCTTTTAAGTGAATATCTTTTGTTTAAGCAAGTACATAAAATTAAAGTAAAAGTAACACCAAATTAGTGACAAATGCCCAGAGAAACATTTTTTTTTCAAAAATGATTTTAAATTTACGACGACATACAAAAGTTACTACATTAGACTGCATTTGCTAGAGATGAGGTATAACGATAAAAAAATTTCGATAATTTATTGAATAAATATATAACGTCGGGGAAAGTGCAAATTCACGTCTGTAGTATTGGTAAAAGGCACGTATCTGCACCAAACCAAATTTCACAGAAGACGGACTTAACGTTATTAATTTGTTATTTCAATGGCTACGACTTTCATTTTTGTACAGAAAGCATTAATTTATGTTGTCTACGGACTGATGACAGTAGAGTCCCTGTAAATCACGCTAATTTGGTTGCTGATTGTTATTGTATCATAAACAAAGACTGCGTTTACATTTAATTTATTTCTTCTCCGGTACCTGTACTTATTCCATAGAAATAACGGATCGGATACCAGAAATAAAATAAATATTATTTATACACAATTCATGGGAGTCCTTTATTTAAAAACTCAATTGTTATGTTTTTTTTAATCCGTAATATTATGCAAGGCTGTATAAGAGAGAACCTTTGCTTCAAAAATCTATCGACTTTACCTCATCCCTGTGAAAACATCAAATGAAGTGTCACAGGGATCATACTAGAAAATTTGTAGTATAGTGAATGAGGTTTTTCTCAGTCGTTTTTTTCTTTCGATAAATTATTTTACATTTTTGGTGCTGCCGTATTAACAATAACCAGCAAGGTATCGACGTAATGAATCTCGCTATTAGAGCACTCATTAACTTACTTTTATAGTGATATTCACAAGCGACTCTATTTCAGTATGTACAATTAGTTCCTTTTCGAACCGGTTCCTGTAATAATGAATGTTGTCTTTGAACACATCTTCGTCCAACGATACAGTTTTGATATGTTGCTCTGTGCGAGCTCGCTCCCAGTTTGTCACGTATCTGCTTCGAGTCTCTCCTATTAGAGATGTATCCTACGAATTGAAAAAAAAATATTTTAGGTAAATTCGGAGTTGCACTAGTATAGGTGATAAGCAAAAAGGAGGAAGTGTATTGGCCTGGCTATATGGTTGAGCTTTACTGCAAAACCCAGGCTTGCGCGTGAAAAAGTACATACGAGTTTATCTCGTGCAAGTCGTGTGTAAGTATCAATTTCCCATAAATAGCGCACAAGTCGACATTCTGTCGTCCACTAACCAAAACGCGGCTAAGTGACAAATGGTCAAATATCCGTTTTAGATAGAAAAAAAATAGAGCACAAAATTGTGAAGTCAGTCAAAATTAGTTAATGTGTTCGATTTATCGGAACCTACCCTAACGATGCATAGCTGAAATATCATCAAACAATTTCCATATTATAGAACTGGATTATGGTTTTTTTATGATACGTTTTAGTGAGCGGACGGCAGATATATCGAAAGTATTTTGTACTTGACTTGCGCATCTCGATCGTATAGAGAACCATAAGGGAGTCACCACATTTATCTACACGTAATCGCATTAAGCCGGTTAGAAAAAGTTACATGTTCATGATATAACAACGAAATGTGCAAAGTTTTTTTTCGCTTTTATTGTTCTTTTCAACCACTATCCACCCAATGCTGAGTGCCAATTCACGCCATTCCTTCCGGTTTTGTGCCTTTCTCATCCAATTTTTCCCCACCACTTTGACAAGGTCGCCAGTTCAGCACATTGGTTGCCTACCTACGCTTCTGTACCCTTCTCTGGGTCTCCAATCAAGTACCCTTTTTTTTCCATCTTTGGCGTTGTCTACGGCTTATATGGCCTGCCCATTTCTTCTTCCTGCTTGCTAACACCTCGGCTATGTTGATAGGATTTGTTCTTCTCCGAATGTCTGTGTTCTCGAGTCGATCTCGGAAAGTGATACTCAACATAACCGTTCCATACTCTCTGGGAGACGCTGGGAGTAGCTATTGCACTGTCTGTCTTGTCAGCGTCTATAACTGAGCTCCGTAGCCCATGACTGCTCTTATTCCATGGACGTAACGCTTTTTTCGATCGGCTCAAGTCGATTCCGCGTTAATAAGTCTGGTGACTCCCTAATAACCTAAGCCGTGGCGCGGATCGACCTAGTTTTTAATTTCACTCGATACTCTTTTGCACCTAAACACGATTTTGTTACAGTCAAGGAAAATCATGAGCAGGCCTAATACAGTTTTAATAAGTAGGTTAAAGTGCGTACTTCAATACTTTTTTCAAGTTTGTCCAATTTGGCATCTGTTTCGTAAATAGTGGACTTATTTTGTATAGTTAACTGTCTCAAATAGCGTCTGAGGTCCTTTATACTCCTGTGAAAAGAACACCTCTATATTATCACTACCACGGTTGTCTACTGTATCATCTTTATCAATTTTATCATCATATTTAAAATTGGTACTAACGATTTATATTTAACGGCGTCGGTCTGCAATTTCGCGTAGTACTTTTTACGTTCAATGATCTCCTGGTTTTTATCAATTATTGGATTGTAGTTCCCACTTAATATAAGGTCCTTGTATGTGGCGCCCAATACTTCAATGAGGAGCATTCTAAAGTCAAACATAAGCTTTCTAATAAATAACTATAAAATAAAGTAACAAAATATGTTTCAATGTTAACTAACGCTTCTAAATTAAGCTCATAATACGTATTCTAATTAAAAACAACACGTCTTGGTCATATTTGCACGCAAAATTCATTTGTGATACGTTAAAAAAATACCAGCCATCTTGCGACGTCCGCCATTTTGAAATTAAGGTTACGTCTTCTTGTCTATGATAGTAGGTATATTATATGAAATTTATTTAACTTTTCATCTATTCAATTAAATTCATATGCGTCATATTATATTATAATAGAACGAAGATAGCCGAACGGGGAACTATTAAATTAGTTACAGACCTGTCTTTGTTCATTTTAACAACCTTAAATTCATAGCTGTTGAGGCTTCGATCGCCTATGGTATCCAACTCATCGGCAGGAGGCAAATTCACACCGAATTTCTTCTTAAGAAGCGTTTCCATGTCTATCATGATCGTCATTATCTTGGCAGATATGTTCGAGTCACCTAGAAAAAAAGCAATCTAAATATTCACTATTTAAAATTTCTTAGTTCAACACTAGGTCTTAAGCAAAAAAAAAAGGAAATAGTAGATGGGTTTCACTACCGTCAAAAATAATGAACAAGATTTTATACTGACAGCGGATTTAGTACACAGAAAAATGAATGACGTGTTGCCAGATTTTCTTATATTTTATGTAAATTAGGAGGTGACGAGCTGACGAACTACTTAACAGGAGGTAGTCGTAGTTAAGTGTTGTATTATTTCGAATTGAAGGGGCAAAGAACTATGAAATTAAAGTAGTGGAGAATCACAAAGTACACAACACTTTTATATAGGTATTAAAAAGGAATGTGAAAATGTTAAGAGTGTAGTAGAGTAGAGTGAGTGACCTAATGTAAATAGAAGAAGATGAAGTCACGGAGTTGGAGACCTCTGCCCGCAAAAGCAAGAGTTCAAGGACAGAGGTGGAGGACTGGACTGAAGAGCAGCGAGATTGCTGGCGGGACAGCGGTAGTACTACAGCGAAGTTGATGACGAGACTGCGGTTGTAGTGCAACAGCAGTATTATAGCCGCGAGTTACATTCAGAGGTGGCATCTTGAAGTATCTTGAGTGTACTTGCATTTTCTGGAGCGTCCACTATTGAAGCGACGCTCAAAATCTTTTGCAGCATCGGAGATTTGTTTGAACTCACAGAAAACTCACAGAGTTACAGCTCGCTCTAGTCATTATCCGGCTTTATGGATTACAATGTATTTACTTCCACATAATTGTCCAATTTCGTTCGATTTGTTTGCATCAATTGTATTTTACATATTACTACTAATATTATTATTTTGTAATTGTGATGTTATGCTTGAGTACTATCCACTTATTACTATTGTGTTTGGATATTGGTCTGTAAGCAGCATGTAATAATATTGTAAAATAAATAAATTGGTAAGCAAATTGATAAGGAGTTGCCAATGCATCGAGAGACCTGTTTACACGATTTTTGAAGAACCCATGTCACAGTGCAAAGTAAACGGTTCACGAGAGAGCCTATTCCACACCTTTTAGAATGCCAGGCGTACATGTATATGTAAATATACTATATCGTTAATTATTGTTGGATAATAATAACACAGTCTAACCAATATTAAACTGTGACAATATGGTGTTTCTATTTATACGCTTAAAATTTTGCCGTTGGCAGACTATGTCTGCCGTTTTGATTAGCTTTGCTCTAACCTCATACGTTCGAAGAGATAGCTCTTTTTCACATTAGTTTTAAATTGTTTATGTCGGGAAGTGAGTGTGCTTACAGCTCCGCCACCAATGTGGAGATTTGGTATTGGACTTAGAATCGTCCGCTTAGCGGTGGCAACCGCTAGTTGTGCAACGCGCCACTGGAAGCGAGCGTGCCTACAGTTCCGGTACCTACCTGGAAAATAGGGAGGGTACTGTACGTGCACCCGGGGGCAGCTATTCCAAGGCACTAGCCTCTCGAGAACCGGATGAAGTCAAGTGACAGAGGTCTGTGACAACCCTGTACACTGGCTGATCTGGGGTCAGAACCTGAACCTATAAAGGTCCTGTGCGCGCAGAGGTTATAGTGCCCTTCTCGTATACCCTAAGGGTACAGAGGGTCACTATAATGAAAACTAATGTAGAAAGATATGGAGCTGTTTTTGTGTGTTTGTGTTGTGAGCAATAAAGTGTATGTCTTCCTATCTATAAAGGACTCTTTGTAAATAAAACGACGGTGCAGAGAAAGTTCGTCTGCCATGCAAGGGAGTATAGGCTGTAAATACCGTACCCAGTAAGCGAATTCCCAATACGATGTCTTCGAGCACGGTAGCAAACAAAGCAGCCGTGAGATGTTTTAGACTGCAATATAATTATGAAACAATGTTAATTATAATAAATGGGTTGATAATAGTAATTTATAACTAATAGTATTTATAAACACTTTATAAGTTCAAGTACTCAAAATTAATATAATTTCATTTAAAAAAATAGTGAAGATACCGAAAAGAAACTGTACTGTTAGCGCCCAGTTACACAAGGCGAAAGTTTCCGCGCAGCCGCCGCGCGGTTGCCGCCCAGTTACCACGCCTATGTACATTAATGGCGAATATGAATTCTATTTACTAGGCAACGACATTTAAATACCTCTGAATCATACAGCCGCGCGGGCGCTGCCCGGCCGCACGGTGTTTCGTGTAGAACAAGCTAGCTGGACAATATTGACATTAACATTTCCCAGAAAGGTTAATTACGGTAAGTAGGATATTAGTTGCTAATCACATCGGTAAGTATGATTTTTGCACTAATGACATAGATCATTAGTAATAAGCATATGTATTAAGACAACTAGAAAAAAAGCATAAAATGAGATACATTTTTGCTCTTGATATGATAACGTATCCCGAGTTGATTTTAAAAGTTGTGTATATTTAAAGTGATGGATTCAGTAACCAAGGGTAAGTGTTATTTTTTAGTACCATTATATTCGAAAAGCAATAAGGCATTTAATAGTAAATGTCTCTCAAAGTTGTTAAAGTAACTTTTTTTTACATTTTTCAAATTCAAAAGACTAAAAGTAAAAATCCCCCCTTCTCCCTGGATCGATATTTTTTCCTGTGATAGGTACGGTCTTCTAGTTTATTATTCAAGTAGAATTTCTTGCTCGAAAAGTGCCCTTTTTTTATTATCTTTTTTTTTGCAGAAAGCAGTTTCACTGTCTCAAAGAGGGGCTTTTTTGAAGAATGGGTGAAACACTCAAAAAATGACCGTAAGTCAATTGGTTAATTATGTACACATTGTGCTAATTTATATTTATTGTAAGATAATTATAACCTATTTATTACCTAAATAAAATATTATGTTCTTTCTAATACGCATTTCAATGTCTAAAGTACCTGTTTTAGTAGATTCTGGAGATTTTTAACAGTAGAAATGTTGATAGTTGCACTTAGCAGAGGCATTCGAAACGAATTGCAACCGAAAATAATTTTGTCCAGCTAGCTTGTTCTACACGAAACAGAGTGGGCCGCTGTGTAGGTTAACTTCAAACCAAGCTCGCCCGACGCTCATTTAAGTTCAAAGATAAAAGCTAAAACGAGTTACTGAACAATAAAGAATATTGACAAAATTAATCATATTTGTTATGAATTTGTTCAAATCATAATTGTATGAAAAAACTGTGATTTCGGATGACGCAGACGCAGGGTCATTTGCAAAATACCAACACTTATTGTTTAAATTAGCACGAAAATAAAATAATAGTACCTAATAGAAAAATTAGGTGACATTGATCTACGTGAGGTCGATATAAAATGTGTTTTTTGAAAATGGAGAAAACGGAATTTCGAGTTAATAAATATCCCGTTTCTCATCCACAATCAGAACATCAAAACTTGACGAATTATGCTACAAACTATTGCCGCACCCCTCGTCTTCGCTAAATTTAACCCCATTTGACATTTTTATCAGATTTTTTTACCGATTTGCATCGGTAAAAATGCAAACTAAACTACACTAATGTTTTCGGTAGTTTAGTAAATAACGAAGTAATATTAATATTTTGAATAAACTTATTTTTAATTTATTTTCTGGAGCTTAAGGCTCAACTCACACTGGCGCAGAGTCGAAGCGTCGCGACGCGTCATGTTTTTCGCCTATAACATATTAATCTCTACTTTCCCAATATTAAGGTACAAATTTGTGTTATGCAAATATGTTACTTGTTACTTGGGCGCAATGAGGCGTTAGACGCCGACCACACCGTGATCCGGGCGCACTAATCGTCGCGCGTTGTAGTTTAAAAAAACAGGACGCAACGCGACGCTTCGACTCTCCGCCAGTGTGAGTTGAGCCTAAAAGCTTCGGACAGTAAGTAAAGTAATAAACTACCCTTAAAATGTATGTCAATATAGACTCTGGAAGGGTAAAACGTCTAACGTGCATTTGAAAAATAATAGGGGAGAGTTCCGAGCTCCAAAACAATAATACTAATTAAGCTCAGGCTTGGTTTATAAAAACAAAATTTATAGTCATAGGTAGGTATTTTATTTGGCTACACGTACATTATAGCATAATCTTCATAAACGAATACAAAAGGTGGTTGTTGCAAAATTACCAAATGGGAAAAAAGCGGTATTATCAAACTGGTCTGATAGTATTGTGCACAGGTCTGATAAAATAAATTCACATGATATAAATACAAAAACAAATTTTGAAGTTCGCATATACTCCTGTGTATTAATAAGAATCTAGAATATTATCTTTTACAGCAAGATAATCGAATACTACAATGTTAATAATAAATAAAGTATAGATCGGTGAACAACATTTGCCTTCTTTGTGCTTATTTTCTTAAAAAATTGGTGAACTTGGTAGCTAGCTAGATCTTTGAATGAAATAATAAAGATAAGCAAAAATTTCAGAAAAATTTCAAAAATTTCAAATATAACTGAAGACGTAAACATCTTCAGTTATATTTGGTAACTTTTCCCTCTGAAATTTTTGCTTATCTTTATTATTTCGACATTTTCTAATGTACGCATTTTCCACAAACCTATCCTTCTCACTGTTTACGTTGCTATTTGAAACTTTCCTCTTAACAGGTTATTCTTTAGCTTCGTTTCTTCTTTTCTACTCCCTCTTCCATTCAATATGTTAGCCAAACAAAATTTTCATAGTTTAAAATTCCGTGCCCAAATCTGATAATACCGTGCTCTAAGCGCGGAATTGTCAAACAATAATCCTGCTTTCAAACCACAAAATAGTATAAAATAACAAACTATATTTTCTAAATGATTTTGAATATCAATTCTACATTATTTTAACCTTTCAAATACGTTAAAATAATTACTTAAAATAAGAATGTAATGTAGCTTACCTCTTAACACCCGTAAAATTATATTGAATAAGTGTGAAAACTTACAGTATGCATCGTCTTCGAATGACCGCTCAGAATGAAATGGTAGCGTGCATGCGGGGGGTGCTATGTGTCAGGCTATGATACTGGGCACTGTTAACTGTAAGTAGCGTCTAGTTATAGAGATATGCAGAGGCGCGAAATTATCATCCAGGCGATAATACCCAACTCTCCCCTACAGGAAAGCGATTTAGAGTTTTTTTTTAACAAAAAACATATCATAACACGTCATTTTACTTGTTATATGGAAAAGCTGAAAGTTTCTGGTTTTCCACATAACAAATAAAATTGGAGTTCTTTAAAAAATTACTTTAAATCGCTCTCCTGTAATATTTTCCAAATGCACGTTAGACGTTTCGCCTTTCCAGTGTCGCCATTATTACTTACAGATGCTCCGACTGTGACATTTCTTCGTATGAAGTTTCCTTAAACATATGCAATACAGGTTACTTTTATGCAATAAAATGGTTAACGGTTTGGTTAATAAATAAACGTATTACTGGCCGGAGACTGCTAGTGAAGCTTTTTTAAAGCAAGATTTTCAACTTCCTGTATCCTTTACAAGGAGTTGAAAATCTTGGTATGAAAATCCTTCGCTAAATTTTAAATAGCGCACTTTGTAAAAAAAATAATAATACTAATAAGAAATAATTGTAATTGCAAAAATAATTTATCATAGTATGTCATCTTCCACCGTCGAGTTACAAGACAAATAAAACATCATGGTGAAGTTCGACCACTGTATAGGGAATTTTAGACTCGTGGTTATTGATGTTGAATTTTCAGTTGCGCTGCATTTGCCGGGAAAAGTTGCGATTCGGTGCGGTCTGGAAAATTCTGGGAAAGACGAGACCTTCGACTCTATCGGTAATAATTAAAATTCACTAATTGTGGCTGCGAAAGAGGCGCGCGCATGCCACGACAGTGACGCTGCAACTGCGCTTCTAAATAATGTATGAAATGAGTAGTAGTGGTAGTCGTAGTTGATGGCGCCCTATTTCCAAAGTAGATTTCCAATATTTATAAGCTTATAAATAAAAATGGAATGGAATAATGATCGTATCAAAGCATAATATTTTAATGAACTTCTATTAACTCAAATTTTAAAATAAAAAAAATATTTATGAAAAATTTTCTTCGTTTTTATAGTGAGCACTCTAAAAACAAAAGGCATTAATACAGTTTTAGATAGAGGGGACCTGATTTTATTATTCAGTTCCCACACTACAGTGTTGCCATATCCATTGTAGCCAGAAAAATAGTGTCGGTTTAGTAGATTTTTTAATATAGTTTAAATTAAGTGATTTAAGTTTCAAAAGTCTCGGTATTCCCGAACGTCAGAATTGAATCTCGAAAATGCCAAAAAATCGCCGAAACTCTTTAAATTTCTGAACGAGATTTCCGGGATGAATATAAATAGTGTTGAGAAGGTCTAATAGAAACCGTATTGCGTAATTGGAGGGTTCTACATCGTCAATAGGTCTCTTAAGATTTAAATATACATGCATTGTAGTTGGCATGTTTGCGCCTGGCATGCCCGCTACAGGCCTTTCGAATTTATACTCAAGCTAGTGGCCTTACATTTGCCTACGGGCAATCAATACATTACAGACAAATTGCATCCCTCATGGGTGAATGGCATAAGTGGAGTTACGTCAAAAACGTTTATTACTCTATTAGATGCAGAAAAATATAACCCACATCGTCTCCAATTCTTGTAAGTCTATTGAACAATATTGTAGATAGAGTTACGAGAATTAGCGAGATGACGGTTATATTTTTCTATATCTAATGAAGCAATAAACATTTTTGACGTAACTCTACTTATGCCATTCTTCCATGAAGGGTGCGATATGTACCAATGACCTTTAAAAGAAGAATATTGAGGAAATAGCTGCGACAGATTTCAACATCAACCCAATAATACGTTCACTGCTGGTCCTTGGTCTCCTCTCAGGCGAGTGTTTAGGCCGTAGTCTGCGACACTGTTCCTGAGCGGGTCTTCATTCGTTTTCCGAGAGTTGTGAATCTTCTCCCGACGCGCAGGTCTCATCACTATGTTTTTCTTCACCGAGAAGTTTATGACACATTTTTTATAATGCTGTGATATTGTCGCAGTTTTGCAACAATGTAGTTATGAAATCATTGTCGATTATCCCAATATAAGTATCCTCATTACTTGGGCTTTGATCAATTCAGCACGTCGGGCTTCTTCCTGAGGCTTTGCTGTAACTATAGTACCTAATAGCGTAATATTAAGTTGCTAATTTAATTATAAAATCAGCTTACCAAATGGGCCGTACAGGACCGGTTTTTGTCGGGTGCTGAGAACACTTGCGAATCGCGTAGTTTCTCTAATGAAGTTCTAATACCACCTACTTGAGTAGACATTTTCGTTATGAACAATGCTCTTACTTATAAAAAAACTATAGCATTAATGAAAACGAACGAAATAATGGGAAAAAAATCATGAACTGGTTTTAGAAAACAAAGTCTTTTCAAAAATGGTTTCATTGTGTCTCCACATTGTGTCACATTCTATTTTTTCTTTATCTTTGAATCTTGTTCTTTCCGCCAAGGAAAAGGCTAACTTCATGTGTCATGCCCGGAACAAAAGAAGCGTGTTCACATCTTCAAGGAATCTAATAAGGAGATTATATATTTTTTTAAGAACAATACTTATTATATTTTTTTTCCATCCTCTAAGCCTATACAGAAAAAAATATCATTGGTGTTTAGTATATAGGTACCCACTAAATCTATGGGTGTTTAATACCATGTAACACGATTTTTATTTCTGGGTTATCGATGTCATTTTCCAATTGGTTCTAAAATAAAAACATGAAAAAACTTCATTTCCCTGAAAAAACTTTGCTTGTGTGGTCAGGACATCGAAAAGTTGAATATTTCATTAAGAACATGTCATTAAGAAAATAGCTAAATGATTCTTTCTTTAAATAAAACTTAAAGAAAAAAAAATCAAACCTCAAAAGTCATGCAATCCCTAGTTTGCCACCCTTAGTCACCCTTAGTTAAATGGGTTCACAAATGCTGGAGTTATCGCGTAACATATATACAAAAAAAAAGAAGAAAAAAACATACAATTGACTAGAGAACCTTCTCCTTTTTATGAAGTTGGTTAAACCAATAGTAAGTATATATCAACTAAAATACTACAAATTGATGGCAAAGAACTGGGAAATGTATAGATTAGCGAAATTATATAAATACCATTATGTAGTTAAGTAAATAGGCAGCTACGTACACACCACAATTTTAAAAGCCAAGTTCAGGGGTATAGAGGTATAGCTACTCTTTTCTATATATTTGATGTTAAACAGAAACTAATTACTGTCAAACTAGGGTCAGAATATTTGTTACATACTTTGAGGATCGAAGTTGGGAGGTACCGGCCTTGCAAATGGCGTCGTCCGCTATAATTATTATATTATATTTACAAAACTACTGTACATAATCATTTTTACCTGACATTGACGAAATCATCGATTATTTCGATATTAAAAGAAGAAGAGGATGGAAAAAATAATTCCATAGTCTAAGGTAAGGTTACAAAAATGATCCGAATTTTGAAGTCGATTATGAACATTTAAAGAAACAACAATATCGGTTCATTTTTGGACGCCATTAAAATATCAATAAGCAGCATTTCTAGGATCTCTAAGATTTTATTATTCGCAATTTATTGTAAAAGGGAAATATAAATATACAGCTAACAAAATGTAAGTATTATATCCGCTTCTTAGCAAGTTTGTCTAATGTTATTGACATCCTCTTCTTTGACGGTCTATATGGTCCCAACCGCTTCCGCACTAATAAACCTCTCCACCAAGCCTGAACAATGATTGCGGACTGTATTATCTTCTGCATGTATTCTCCCTCTGATTTGCGGTTGGATTTTACCTGAACCCACGCTTCCATTTTATTGTTACGTTCTTCAATCTGCAGAAATACAACGTTATATGTGTTGAGTGCACCTCTAGAGCCTCAGCACTGTTCCCGTCATTGTTATGGCCACCATTATGTTCACGAGTCTGTCACTTGCGTTTTTCGCTTGCGCCGGCCGCTTGTTCTACGTTGGATTTCTTTACGTTGCATGAGTTTGATATCTAGCAAAACTTGATATTTCCATGCAAGCAACAGGGAACGTTTGCGGAGGACAGCATCATTGGCCACAGAGAGCAGCAGCGTCCACGCGTCCACTACAATCAAAACAAATGCAGGCGCCGCGCATGCACGCAAGTCTCTCCGCAACGCAAAACTGAAGACTCGTGAAAATCTGCGCGAAAGGCAGATTTTACGCCGTGTACCCATTATTACATCGAGTAGATATAATCAGAAATAGCGACTACAATGGGAACAGCGCTAAACGTTAAAAGTACATTAAAATGTACTAAATATACAAGTTAAAGCAAGCATGCTATAAGTTTTGTATGAAAAACATAGGTACTTTTCTAGAGACCTACCTTATGGTCATAAGGAATATATAGCGCTAAATTTAAGTGCAATATTTTATATACATTGTGCGTTTACATGATCATAGGAACAATATTTTCTGGGTCTGAATCACTTCACATACCTATTGTGTACATATAGATGTACAATGGCTTTAGAAAGTTAAAATAGTTGATGTTGTTTTTATATTGAAACTGTTTAGTATGCTGTTTGTATCGTTACGCAAGTTACTTTGTATGGGTAAGTAACAAATTTGCTGAAATTCGTAACTGAGCCTTTGTAGCACATTAAATAAATGTTTACTTTTAATTTGAGGAGGAGTGTTAATCTCATCTCTAGAGCCTCGGCACTAATTCATTGCTATGGCAACCATTAATATTCAAAATTCTTAGTGGCGCGCACAACTTAAGATAATCTGAGCAATATGAACAGTAGGAAACGTCTGACGGTTGACAGTCAACCGTGACCATGGGAACTGCAAAGCGTCGTTTTGTTTGAAAAAACAAATATACACGATTTAAATCCGGAAAAATAGTTTCATTTTCTATGTGTAACAATCGCGAAAACCTAATAACTCGAAATATGAACAGTATTAGCGTTCATTTTGGGAGCAGGTATCTTTGATTTTGAGAAAATATACGAGTAAAAGAGTAATGTTTATCAGCCATCTTGTCTTGACTAATAATAATCTAATATGGTGCAATGGGATGGATTAGAAAGCATGTACCGTCTGTTCCATAGCCTCCCTCTTGTCTACCATGCCAAGGTAATAATTCCTCTTGATTTGAAGCTTCAAATCGATTTGTTCCACGTCTTTTTCATATTTTGCCATCCAGAACTCAACTTGGTCCATTATATCCTGAACAAAATCGACGGTAATTTTATCTTTTTATCATTAGTCGCATATTGTCAACACAATCGCACTTAATTTTGAATAGACTAATCGAATTCAATAACCTCAGAAGACAGACACGATCTACAAAACAATACCAAGAAATGTGGTTTGTCCATTGACTTACAATTATATGGACGTCGGGTCCGCGCTAAAAAGTGTCCGCACTTGTAAGGCGCTAAAATCGTATACAGAGCGCCAAACTCCGCTTTAGTCTTAATTTGTTCCACTGACAGCGCGATACTGCGATGACATTACAATTTAAATTTCGAATAGGTTGACTTGGGAAATTTTTTCGTGGTTTTTGTATTAGACCCGTCGTCCATTTATTTGTAAGTCAATGGGTTTGTCAATTTTTATGATATTGGAGTTACCAAAAAGGTTGAGTTTGTGTGAGCTCAAAAACTTTACACAAGAGATTATAAAACTACGCAAATTTTTCGATACAATATACAACTAATATTTGATTGAATATCAAAGTATGTTAAATTTGTCTATTCGCTAATATCGGACAATCGCCGACAAAAGCATTTATACCTCGAAGCAAATTAGTCCACCAAGAGCCGACCTGTCTTAACTAATCAAGTTATACTGATATCGAATTAACCTCAAACAGTGCTACAGAAATGAATTATAATTACCTACTTAGGTATATGCTCCCACTAGTAGGAGCACTAGGACCCAAACATGTCAAAGAGGACATTAATTAAGTAAATTGAATTATTTTAATGAATCGCGACAGAATCAATGGCGTAGCGAGGTGCAGAGGAGGCAATGGCCCCGGGCGGCACAGCAATGGGGGCGGCACAGAGCCCTAACTAATGAAATGAATTTCTTTTCAAGTTTTTATTGAATGTGAGGATGTTTCACCAACATGATGTTCAACTATTTTTTGTGAAAATACTCCACTAGTTAGTTATAATTATTAATACAAAGATCGACCACTAATAAAAATTTCTTCGATCTGGCCGAATTCCAACAGACGACTTCCAGCAAACCGTGCCAGACGCTATGTCAACTAAATCACGGAACGAACCAGCGCTCCTTACGATTATTTTTATGTGCTTGTTGTCCTGTGTTGATCTTTGTTGTAGGGTTTTAACGACTATTTTGCAGTAGCGCCATCTATGAGAAATCTATGAAATTTATTCCGCCTATGATTTTTTTAGTTCAAATTACATAATACTCCTAAATTCCACTGTTTGAGAAAAGGTTCCTGAACAACACACGTGGAGACGGCAGGGTAACACAAAAACACAAACGAGTCAAGCCAGCCCGAACGAACTACTTTTGTAATCGTGAAAATAGAGAGAGCAATAAAGTTAAGATTGGCCACCGGACAGAAGGCAGAAGTTTTTCCAGTACACGATGAGGATTGCCAAGTTAAAAACTGTCATGTAATGAAAAATACCCTAGTCGCAATAGTAACAAAAGTTTCGATCTCTGCATGCACTCGCTGTTCTTGCTCTTGTTTATCCTTGAACAAAGCGATGTTGTCCTCGTAATATTCTTCCGTTTGGCGTATCTTCTCCAGATTTTGCTCTCGGCGCGCGCCCTCCCAATATCCCACTTGTCGAGCACTCGTTTCCGCTGTTATCTCGGCATCCTGTGGAACATTAAGTTGCTATGAGTAATTGGTGATAGATGACACTGAACCGTAAAATCCGCTTGGTCTTCTTCTTGTTATTGTATCGATGCACTTATAATTACACACTTATATTATTGTGGCCCAGAACTTGGCCATGCTGACCGCATCACCGGTTGCCGCCATTGAATTCTAAAGCAGAAAGATAGACAATCCTTGAATCGCACCTCACTAATAATTTGATAAGACCCATCCAAAAATCTGAATGAAATTGCTTTGTCTAGCTAACTTGAGTCCAAAACCTGTTTACCTACATCCCCTTGATTACGTAACGCCATCTAACTGTTGTTACTAGCGTAAAATAACAGTGCCTGCACTATTATGTCACAGCATGATAAGACAAGTATGATAACTCCATACAAACGTGGCAGCGCGGCTTATATGTAAGCATGCCCGCTACGCGCCGTGTACGGACGCACACATTCGTATAATCGCGCGGTGCATTAGAGTTGTACACCTCGGGTCATCACACGCGCCATCATTATAGAATTGAAGCGGTCGCTCGGTGTTTAAAAATGACATCAAATAATAGACACATTTATTGTTGTGTTTGTTTTTAAAAAGAGGTCCTCAAATTCAGAATTGTTCAGCATATCGTTTCTATTTAATAATCATATTCCATAATCAAGATTAGTAGCAGTAGAGCTCCTTGTGAAAGAGTTCGTCCAGGGAAGTGCTGCCAACTTACCTATTTCTGCCGTCAAGCAGTAATGTGAGCATTACTGCGTTCCGGTTTGGAAGGACTCTTTTACAAGGAGCTCTACTGCTACTACAATTATTTATTGGATATTCCTCATCAGCGGCCTTAAGCCGACTTCTTAGTTGAATAGTTTTCGAATTTGACCACGAATGTGGTAACATTCTACTAGGTGTAGCAGCTTAATAGTTTGACCTACAGCCTCTCAAGCAGTGGACGTGGGTTTGAATCCGGGTTCGCACCTCTGAGTGTCTGGGGAATGTATGTGCCAAAATTTAATTTGAAATTTATCATAAGCTTTTCAGTGAAGGAAAGCATCGCGATGAAACCTGCGCGTCGAAGAAGGTTCACAATCCTTGGAAAACGTGTGAAGTTCCTAAACCGCATTTGGCGCACGGCGGACTAAACCCTTGCCTAAGTGGAGATCCGTGCACAGCAGTAGAACGTACAAATGGGTTGATGATGATAATGACACCAAAAAACCAAAACTTTAACAACTACAGTTCCTTCTTACTTCGATCTTCTTCTCTAAAGTATCTTGTTTAACCATTGCATCGTAAATCAATGTTTTGTTCTGCACACGCTGTTGGCGTAGTTGTTTGCGGAGTTCTTTGATAATCCTAAAAAGAAATTATTATTATAACCCATTTGTTGTGGATATTCGACTTTTCATGATCCTGACTTTTGACCATATCTTTTCTACCAATTATCACTTCACCCTTCTGCGGCATGATGATAGATTCAAGCGACATGGGATGGATTAAATTAAGATGCTAATGTAATTATAGATTATATACAGCTTGACTTCCCAAATCGTCAGCCTAGCGTGACTGGCCATTATATAGCAAATTTTCCAACTTTGGAGAGGCCCATATCTAATAGTGGTCTATATTAGGCTGATGTGATGAAGCGATTATAAAGGTTAAGGGTTAAGAGCCTTCGCCTCGCTCTTTAGTGCAATGGCGCAGTAAATCAAGTCAAGTGCAAGATATCACCCCAAAAATAAAGGCGGTATAAGGGCCGGCGTAAATGCATCATGTGCTCTACCATGCTAATTTAAAATTGGTCTTTCCATAAAGAATAATTGGCCAATACTCTGATTTCACCTAATAGTACATCCATCAAGTCTTTATTTTTTGACAATGTAGGTAATATACGAAACTTTGGGTTCCAAGTAGCACACCTTAGTCTCATTACGGTTTTATAGATATCTAAAAGTTATATTTGATTATCTAACTTAAGAGTAGGTAAGTTGTTCCTCCTTCAGGAGTTTATAGAGATTATCTTTAGTGTAAAAGGGCTAAGTTTTTAGTATGATTTTAGACAGTTTATAGATAGAGTACTTGCTCTTGTCATTTTCTCAAGATTAATTTCAGGAACACGTTAAGATAGCTTATAGGTGGTGTACTTTTAATCTATTAGGTGACTTATACATCGTTTTATGAAGGCCAATCCATGATTTTGTAAACTCCGATTATAGGCACATTATTCTAAAGTATTATTTATTATTATGCTTAAGTATAATATTTGGTATATATTGTAATTATTCATGTAAAGAGATAAAAATTGAGAAATTTATAAATATAAATGGCGAACCAAAGCAATATATTAGTAATAGGGTACACCTGTAGTACACGTATTATTTGGGCAAATAATACATGAGAAAAGGCTTCCTATGATGCACCTAATTTATATGAAACTTAGGAACCGTTTATGAGCACCTACAATTTTGAGGTTACTTTAAACAAATTATGGTGTATTTTTTTATGTTAAGGTAGTAAAATGGTAATATTCATATGGAGCTCTACCAAGTGTGCATAGTTCGTATGGAGAGATAGATCTTGGTAGAGACCAAGAGTGCTGCTTGGGCTACACCAATTTCTACAAACAACGTAACTTTACACGGGAACTAAAGCGGGTTTAACTTACGATCTATTCTTGAGTTCCTCTTCAAGGATTACTTCGTAGAAATTCATAACCTGCTGCATTCCCAAGATGTATCTCTTGAGCTTAGAAAAGTTCAATCGTAGTGCTAAATCCAAATACGTCGAACCAATAACTTCAGCAAAGAACGCCCTAGCACATGTTAAAGATAACATTTAATGTATTAATAAAGATATTAATTTAATCGGATCTAAATCGTGTATATTTATTATTATTTTGGTAGACTGACTACCATCTCATTCATCCGTGACCAAGGTACCTGTAAGGGCCCGAAACGTTGACTTGTTTGAACAAACATACGCAATCCTAAAAAGTAGGTATTTTTTCCTGAGTTGAACAATCGCCAAAATCTAAGAACTCCATAATCCATTTTATTAAAAAAGAATGAGCGAACAAACCAACAAGTAGGCAGGCAATTCATGGATAATGGGTACATTGAAGCAGCCATCGCGCCGATGCTGGTTATTGCAGAGTCCCAATTTATAGGGCACAAGTGGGAACTAGGCACACAGCAGTGGCGGATTTGCCCTAAGGCCACCCTAGGTGCGGGCCTACGGGGGCCAGATTTTATTGCCTGGCGATGGCCTGGCGGTCAATCGTGACAGAAAGTTCACTATGATAACAAGAAAGAATCAATATTTTAAAGGCTCACGCATATTATGACGGGCCGCACCGCAGCATATATGTAACAATAACCATCCTAAATCACTTTATTAAAATATAGATATGTATACCGGTAGGTATATGAGTGCTGAGGAAGGTGCGGCTGGTACTGACTACATGGCCTGGGGCCTAGGGCGACCAGGACTGCAAATCCGCCACTGGCACATCGAAATGAGACGGAGTCGAACTCAGCGTCGGCGTTAGCCTATTGCAATTATAAATTATTTTGGGAAGCAATAGCCCGTTTACTTCGTTTACTCGGCGTACAGTGAACTCGGCGCAAGTGTGCACCGCACACCACGCGATATAGCGATGCCTTACTTTCTCAAACTCGTATTTTAAAAATAGTGATTGTTCAGGAGATGGCAAAACTAGAAAGTTTTTATTTTTAATTTCTTATCAAGGGCGTTAATTTGGATGCATTACTTTAAGAATAGGTAAAATCCAGTGTGTGAATATGAAGGAAATTTGATTTGAAATCAGCCTGCAAAATTTGTGTATACTTAAATCCATTTTTTGCATTTCAATAACTTTGTGCTGATACGAGTTTGAGAAAGCAAGGCGACGATAGGTGTCTAAAGCTTACACTGGCCGAGCCTTTAGATATTACACATGATTTAATTTAATCTTCTTCGTAAAAACCTATGATTAAAAAAAAGGAATTTTGATACAACTTTAGTATCCCTCTCGATACAATGGTAGGTTTAGTTTATTTTTCGGAACGCGCTTGAACCTCGGTTTTTCGTGGAGGAATTTCTTTTTTCTCGTGCCGGCTTCCGTGGAGGTCGGGATATCAAGCAAAATCTTTACTTTATGTAGGAGAAATACCAAAATAAGGTGAGTTTTCTTCTTAGCTACCCTGTAACCGTATCGTAGATATTCTGTCGTAGATCATATCGCTCCTTTTCAGTACTTATCCACCAAATCGAAATGGTCATTCAATTCCAACCTCTCTAAGATTGTCTGAAGACTTTGGTGAGTGTGGTTTGCTGTTCAAAGTAGCTTTTCCTAGTTTAAATATTTCTTTTCAACGGACTCTAAACAAGCCATTATTATTTACAGCCAATATAACGTGATCGGAGGTTACGTTCTGTAAACCCACGTGGAGTAGTAAGTTTTCCCTTGTGTTATAAACCGTACTATCAAGTGTCTACAAATTCCAATTTAACTCATGCTGTGAATATTATTGTTTACAGGTTTTTTGTGTAGTAACTCAGTCAAATCCACGGACTCCATGTAAAGCTCCGGCTATAACCTTGTACCTGCCGTGTAATGTGATGAAATCTTTTATAACTTTCACCAAATAATAACTTTCTAATTTCTGGGTTAAAAGAAACCCATGTCAAAAGTGTACCTATATTAAGTGTTAAATATAAGTGCTCCCTAACATGGTGTAATGATACTCCTTTGAGTGCTCATGTAAAGTAATTGATGTTTAGTATATATAAACAGTGTAAAAATGATTTTATATTTTTCATTAGAACACGTCGTACGATTGACGGGAAAGTCACCTGGCGCCTAGTGATATAAATACTCGGTACCGCTCCCTCTCTGGGCCGAAGACTATCCACGCTTGCCTAACGAGTCTTGCTACAGCTGCTGGTGGTCCCTGTGATCACCATCCAGCCAATGCTACGTTGGGCGCCACTGACACATTTAGCACAGGTCCATGGCAACTATTAGGTTTAAGAATGCTTTAAAATATAATTCTAAACTTTTTGAAAGTGTCAAGTTGATTTCTATCAAGTAAATTAAGAAAGTTTCAGCTTTTGTCGACCCAACTAGATATGTAGCGATACTACACAAGCCATCTATGTCTATGACTAAGATCGTACATATTATTATAACAGGTTTTCTGTAACATTTATTACGATGCAAGCACTAATTAATAAAAATGTCTGACATTAATCCATACCTGTCCTTATCCAACTTATCAAGTTTGAACTCCTCGAAATGTAAGTTTTTATAAGTAACCCCTGATAACTCGTCTTTTTTAATCGGTCCCGGTTCTACTCCGAACTTCTTTGCCCATTTCTCATCCATGCTTTGCTTTAGGTTATTTATTAGGATCTGTGTACCGGAGTCCACTAGGTTAAGCAAATTTAATTACGTTATGTTATACTATTCTGTTAAGAACGTAGTCTACTAATAAAGACAAACAACAATTGTATATATGGTATAAAGAATACGGTTTATCGTTACAGCTCCTTGTGAAAGAGTTCGTCCGAGGAAGTACTGTCACCTTACCTATTTCTGCCGCCAAGCGGATGGGACTAGTCAACTACTCTGGGTGCCGGGCGCAATGGCAGTGCCCCTCAAACCTATGCAATATAAAGCTTTGTGTGGCATTGCGACTTTTATGGACAGGCGTGTCGGTTACCACCAGGCACACCCATCACTTGGTAACATAAAAAAAACTTGAGACTTGTAGAAACCCGACCAAGGGATGACTCCAGGAGAACAGAATTCTGCCGTCCACTAAATAAAACGTGGCGAAGTGACAAATGGTCAAATATCCGTTTTAAATAGAAAAAAATAGAGCACCAAATAGTTTTTTAAAAACAATTAAAAGTGTTCGACTTATCGGAACCTTTTTTTTTACCCGGAGAAATGCGTTACGCATACCGCACGGCCGGGGGAGGCGCGAGGTTATGTGGGACTCTCCTCTCTAAAAAGAGAGGCCTACCCACTAAAACTCCGGGGGTGTTCCTCCACGCACCTTGTAGCGGGAATGCCGAGACGCTTCTTCCGCGAACCCACCGGTGCCGTCCTTTTGCACGGACCTTCCCAGAGTCCAGAGTGGGAGTAGTTCACCCTGTTCTCCTAGTCGCAGGGGACTGCTTGGAACACTTGACAGCCAGCTACCGTCGTTCCTTTATGTTCGAGCGGCAGGATTCCCCAATCCTGACGCCCGAGGACCCCTACGGGGGCGGAAGCAGGTGGGCATAAGCCCGCCTTCTTCGCCCCGTTCTCCTACTGCGAATCGGAGGCGAGAGTGGATCGTCCTGTCGACTACGCTCCGCGGCCTCCTTCTGCGCCATCACTTCCTCGCAGAATGAGGCCATCGCCTCCCATGACGCCACGTCGGCGACCATGGCCTTGATCACGGCCGGCAGCGAGAGCTCATTTCCCACCACTGCAGCGAGGGAAGGGCGTTGTTACGCCCACGCTTGGTACTCTGCGAGCGCATGGTCGGCAGTGTCCTCACTGCAAGAGCAGTGGTGACATGCCGGCAATGGTTCTCTACCGACTATGTGGCACAGATACTTGCCGAAGCTACCATACCCCGACAGGATCTGTACCAACCGGTAAGTGAGCGAACCGTGGTACCTGCTTACCCATTCTTTGAGGACTGAACGAACAGCCGCCACAGTCCGCTCGCCCGCGCTCAGCTCCTCCAACCGACTTCGCCATTGCGCCAGCACTTTCCGTTGGGCGTATCTCCTCCACCTCATGACCTCCCCGGGGGTCGGTCCTTCTTCCTGGGCTCGTGCGTTTGCGCATCGCCTATACATCCCCGCAAGGACCCTAGCATCGAGGTCCCAGAGAGGCGCACCAGCGAGCACACACGCCGCTTCGTACGACACGGTGTGGTATGCTTATTCGGGCCGGTCAGAGCTCCGACCCACACCAATGCGCCATGAACCTTTCCACGCCGGAATATAACCGTCGGCAGATCACATTCGGACCGCCCAGATTAGGTAAGAGTCTCCCGATAGCAGATGCAGTCCCGATTAGCTTGGGAGCCAATCGTCGAAAATGCTCCCGGAAGTTCCACGTACCGTCGAGGTAAAGTGCCAGATACTTCATCTGAGGCTTCACCACAACGGACATCCCCCCGATGTCAATGCTGGCACCCGCAGGCGGCCCCCTCCGAGGTCCGTGCAAACACAGAGCCTCGGTTTTCTCAAGGGCCACCCTCAGGCCCAGCATTTTGATCCACCCAACGACCTGCCGAACACCCGCTGCAACATGTGCCGCCGCCACCTCAAAGTTCTCCCCTCGGGCTGTGACCAGGGTGTTGTCCGCGTAGCAAAACACCCCGGAAGGAACCCGGAAGGAACGGGACCCAGTCATATCCGATGTACCACAGGAGCGACCCTAAGACCGTTCCCTATGGAACACCGCACCGTATGATCCTACGGCGAATAACGCCATCCCGCCCCAGGTATAGGATGGGTCCGTCGCTCAGGTAGGCCCCGATGATTCTTTTTAAATAATGAGGCACTCGGTGATACCGAAGTGCCTCTGAGATACACCCGAAAGGCAGCATATTGAACGCGTTGGCAATGTCTAGAGACACTGCCAACAATACGCCACCAGACGTCACAGTTTCATCCGAGAGCGCTTTGACGCGCATAATCGCGTCAAAGCATAATCGCGCCGAAACAACTATATGCTCAAAGAGCTTTACCACATCGTTCAGCAGCACAATGGGGCGGTAGGCAGACGGACACTGCGGGGCGCCCATCCTTCTTGAGGAGAACCAGTTTTCCCTCCTTCCAACAGGTCGGGAATCGATCCGACGCGAAACACAAGTCAAGTAGCCCGGTTAGATGGGCCCCCAACTCGTCCAGTACCGAGGCCAAGACTCGACCCGGCCCTCCATCAGGCCCTGGAGAAGTGCGCTTGACTCGGAGCCTAAGCGCGGCACGGCTAACCTCCACTGACGTTATGGGAGGAACCTCCTCCTCAGCCTCGACCTCAGAATGAGAACCCACCATTGTTGGAGGAACGTGATCAGGCCTGTCCGGAAACAAACCCTTCAACCCAAAGCCCTCCAACAGCTGGGGTTGCAGGGTCTCCGTGAGCGGGGGCGCCTGTGCGCGAAGTTTATTCCTAGCAGCACGGTACGGGCGACCCCACGGATCCCTGTCGAAGGACTCAAACATCTCCCGGTGGCCGCTGGTTTTTGCCGCGCTGATGGCCAGGTGCAGAGACTTTCGGGTCCCGGTGTAGAGGCCGTGCAGCATGTCTTCCGTCTCTTCGTCCCGGACCCGCAATCTCCGGTACCTGGCGAACTCTCGCCGCGCAGCAGTGCAGGCGACCCTGAGATCGCCAATTTGCTGTGTCCACCAGAATACCTCTCGACGCGGAGGACGGCGCTTTGCTCGGGGCATCGTCGCGTCGCAAATTTGCGTCAGAGCCCCCCGGAATCGAATGGCTCCTTCGTCGGCGTCCTCTGGTCCAGCACTGGACTATATGGTCCAGGCTTGGACAATGGCGGCTTCGGCCATTAGCTCCTTGGGTCTTATCGGAACCTACCCTAACGGTGCATAGCTGAAATATCTTTAAACAATTTCAATATTATAGAACTAGGTTATGATCTTTTTATGACACCTCAAAAAATTATTTTATCACTTAGCCGGGTTTTAGTTAGTGGACGGCAGCAGATACAGCAACGTATCTACTGAAATAAACTGTTAAAATACTTATCACTACTTACTGTTTACTAGCGTTTACAGACTATAAATTTTCTACTATAAATAATTTTGTATGCTTACCAAGAATAGACAACTTTATGAGTGTATCTTCCAATACAGTAGCAAATAAGGCAGAATGGAGGTACGATATTCTGAAAAATAAAAATCACTAGATAATCTTAGCTCCATGGCCCAGTCACGGTGTAGACGTAGACAGGGTATTTATAAAATACTAAAAACTCGCAGGACCGTATTACAACTATTGTTCAAAGACTTAACAATTCATCAAATTTTACTTTCATACAAGAATATAAATATTTAGATTGGGCGCTCTAAATGCTGATAATTCAACGTGGTGACAAAAGAAACCACGCGTAGCTATATAAGTTACTACCAAATATAGATCTAAAAAGTGTTAGATGGGCAGGGACAAGAGCACGTCAAGCTTGACACTTAAGACTTAAATCCAACTCTATGCCGCTTACGATAAGAACGGTCCAAAGTGTCAAGCATGATGTGCTCTTGACTGTACAACAAAAGCGTAAAAGTTTATTTTTGGTAAATTAATTGTGTTGTAAAAAGTCGTGGAACAAAAGTTGTTGTTTATGATGTTAGTAATAGTCCAGCGAAGTTGTTAAGTATTTTACAAATAGGTAACCCTGTATCTGTTGCCTGTAAACGCCTGCAACACCAGCGGCGTTACGAGTTGCTAAACCTTTAGGACCCATTTCACACCCACTTGACGACTGGGCACACTTAACGATTATACCCTGTATATTGTAGTTTATGGTTAGGGCTAGGCTATTAGGTATATTCTTACTCAAGAGGAAAAGTTTGTGTGATCTCCACTTCTGTTGTTATAATGGAAGTTGAGGTTGGACGAAACTGAAATGATATTGTAACATAATTTTAGTTATAAGATCTCAGGAACAAATCTTAACCCATTAAGACATCCCACTATTGAGTACAAGTCTCTTCTAAGAAGAGAATTTAGGCCGGGGTGCGCTCACTTGGGCACTTCGTACCAAGGTTGTTGCTGATGCAGGTCTTTTATACATCAGCTGATGCAGATGCTGGTGCTCATTTTTGAACTGAAAATGAGCAGATGCTGATGCGAATGCTGGTTTTATTATTTAAAAAAAGGTCATGAAAACTGTACAGTCTTCAATTTTGTAATATGACTTTTTAATTAGAATATATTTAATGTAGTTTTTACACTTAAGAAATTATAATCTTAATATGTGCTAAGGAATCTTATTGTAAAAACGTTTACAGTTCCCCTTAAAGTAATCGTTTACCTTAGTTAAACGAAATCGTGGTACCATAAGTTTGGACTTAGTTCTAAGGTTGAATAAGAATTAAAGTTGATTTGTATTTGCTAGTTAAAATGCATTTTTATTGTATTGTTTGGCTTTTGGTTCGTTTGTTTTATGAAATTAATAAAACGCTTCTTATCTTGGTAGTAGTAATACGGGAAAGTATTATTTGCCCATATTATTAGTGGTAGTACCACGGAAAAAAACAATTACCCGTGATACTACTAGGCCTGTCGGTAGTAACACGGGAGATTATTATTGCCCGCGTAGGTAACTACTAGTAGTTCAACTGGTTGTACTACTAGTAGTTCAACTGGTTGTACCACGGGCAACAAAGAAAAGGAACTTATTGTATCTGCGTTATTATTCTAAGATTGTATCTACACTGGACAGCAAATAAACCGGGCCACCTGCTAACTTTGAACTCTAATTCGATTTTCTCAAAAAGTATGAAACTTGCAACTATCAATTTATACATACAGAAAGTGCGTTCATGACGATTAAAATGAGTATAAATTTAATCTTAAGTACCGTCAACTCACACTGTAATTAAGTAACAAACACAATGCTAACGATTTGCTATGTTTTGAATAAATTCGCGTTTTGGGATCGTTTTTCTATAGTGAGGGTAGTTGGATATTTATTTTCATTTCTTTAGTATTTGTGTATCGTTGGCTCAGACGCGTGTATTTTTGCTACTTTTTTCGATCAATAATGGATACGACACCTCAGGAAGCAGCTCAAGCTGCAGCGCTCCTTCAGGCAGGTATTGGGTAACGTGAGGTCGCTCGAAGACTTCGAATCAGCAGATCTTCGGTGCAACGAGTTTATAAACGATACCTAGAGACTGGAGCATTCAATCGCCGCCCAGGTACGGGCAGACCTAGGGCTACATCAGCAGCAGATGATCGTTATAATATGAGAGTTCAAAGTTAGCAGGTGGCCCGGTTTATTTGCTGTCCAGTGTATATGGAGAACTTTTTAATAATTTAGCATTTTTATGATTTGGTGTCATTTATACAAAAAAAATCTAATCGCATAAAATCAATCATTCTGCCTTGCTTAAGCGTAACTACTGGAATTTATTTAAAAGGCGAATATCCGTAATGAATATTAGCATCGATCAATGCGGAAGTCGATGCAGAAACGAATATTTTAATTTACGCTCTCCATTTTCACTACGCATACACAATACGAGCGGTTGCGTGGGTACGATCGAAACGCCTGATCGAACTTATAAAAATTTGATTAGGTACTATAGAAAATATATGTGCTCGGTTAAAATGGCTCCCAATCCGCCTTCGCCGTGATGTGCATATCCTGTCCACCCTTTTCAATATACTTCATGACCCAAATTCCCCTTCCTACCTACGTTCCCGGTTGCAACTGCTTCCCCCTCCTAGCCGCTCAAGGCGTCCGTGCATCACTAAGATGCTCGTTCGTCCTAGTTGTAAAACAAATTTCTTTTACAACTCCTTTTCCTCTCGTGCAGCGCAGCTGTGGAACAGACTCCCTTCCCATATTCAGTCTAGTCCGTCAATTGCTTCCTTCAAGAAAAGGTTGACAGCGCACTTTCTTGCTGAACTCTCTTAATAATCATCATATTTGTATATGTGTAAGTTTATTGATACAATGTATTATACGTTATGTAGTCTATTTATTTATATACTATTTTAATTATTTAACGGTAATTTTATATATGCATATTTTATACATGTAGATTATCATATTTTGTTATCTCTTTTGCACGCCGTTCCCCGCTTAAAACCTTTGCTCTCACTGCCTTGGGTTGGCTGGAAGAGATCTCTTTTAGAGATAAGTCCACCTTTGCTCACCTTATGTTATTTTTTTTTGTTTCTGTTTATTTGTTTGGTGCAATAAAGAATATTATAAAATACGTTATTTTATTTTTTCATTTGAAAAAGTATTTGTATAACGGTTTTTGTAAAAACAAACGTTACACAAATTCGTTACATGGTAGCGCTCGCGCCGCGCCGCCGCCAACGACACTTTTTCGTCTTAGTCTATTATCGGCGCTCATATCTAGTGTTACTTGCCAAATTGCCTATTTGACCCCTTCGACGTGCATCGAGAAACCAACTGTATTTGTCGAATAGGCAAACACACAACACACTTACATATCAACACATGCCGAATGTTTGCCAAATATACTAGATACGGCAAATACAAATCGCCACGTGAATGTAAAGTGCCACCATAGGTAATAACAAGCTCGTTAATTTCTGACAACCAATTGGTTGAAATAGTGGTTTAACCGGCTCAAGACTACATCAATGCCACCCTTGCTATATTTTGCCTTAGAACCGTGCTTATATTACTTGGAACGTCAGTACTTGGTACTTGGTGTAACGGGTTGGTGTCCGCAACTCGACGTCAAGGCGCCTATTTTGGACCGTCATAATTGTTAATATTTAACAAAGTAAATAGAATGCTTCAGCATGATTATTGTGTACTCAAAGGAACCAATTAAAAATTGCAATAATACTTTTATAGGGCAGAAAAAATTACCTCACTATGAAAGTCAGACTGAGTCCACGACGATGGTTGATTACTTGTATTTGAATCTTTATCGGGCTTAGTTAAAAACTCAGTTTGAATCATACCTTCACTGGGGCTGTAAAAATTGTCTGACGCGCTTCTATACCTGGTCTGTTTCGGCATAATTGTTGTTAAATTTCGACTTTAACAACTTTAAAATTGAATTGTGTGTAATTTGACGTAAAAATAAAAAGGTTCAAGTATTCTATATAACTAAATTACAAAATCATGTTAATAAGGCTTCAGAAAATGTATCTATTACTTTGTGACAGTATTCCGATTTGTGATAATATAATAAATCCAGGTGGTCGCATTATCTGACATAACAACTTTAGAAAATTACAATCGCCTTATTACCTTTATTTATTTTATGATTGGCTATAGAGCCAACAGATATCAAACATACACCAACTAATGAAGAAACTCAAAACCCAATACATGCTTTTAATATAAAAATTTATTTGTGTAAAAAATTAAGTTTTACAACTTTTCCAAATTTTTTCCTCGCAATTTCTAAATTTTTTCACTCCCTCGCTTTTTTTAAAGCACAGATTTTTTCCCCTTCGTTCCGTTAGGAACAGGCGAAGGTCAGAGACCATACTGCCTATTAAACCACGTATAATGATGATGATGATGATAATATATATATATATATATATATATATATATAATATAATATATTATATATATTTTTTATAATTATTAATACAAAGATCGAACACTCAGAAAAAATTCCTTCGATCCGGTCGGATTCGAACCGACGTCTTCTTGCATACCGTGCCAGACGCTATACCAACTAAGCCACTATTTTTTTTAATTTTTGGCCCGGTTCAAGACCTCTAAAGGTCTATCCACACATACCCGGGACGTTCCCGGGCCGTGCTACGTCAGGGACTTAAAAAAATATCGTTGCGTATGTTTTGTATGAACTTTGTCACACAAGTCCGTGTCCGGACCGACGCAGGGACGGGCCCGCAGTTCATACAAATTAGCACGCCCCGTTCACGTCCCGGGCACGGCCCTGATGTGTGTGGATAGTCCTTAAATCAAGTCCTATTTTTATAAGAAATATGTACTACACAGCGCTTGATTTAAAACATAATTTTATTTGCTACAGACAACAAAAATATTACTTTAAAAAAACGAAAAAACAAATCGACTGTGAACCTTAGAGGATTGAAAGCTGTGAACTGGCAATCGGTACCATCTCAATTTTGACCACTTTACAGGTGAAGAAAAAAATTGTTTGCGTCATTTATATAGCATCTGATTTCTTAAATAAAATACGTAGTTTTTAAATATTTTTATTACACATACACAACGTATTTTTATTTGATAAACCAGATGTTATATAAATGACGCAAACAATTTTTTTGTCAACGTTTAAATTTGTCAAAATTGAGATAGTACCGGTTGCCAGTTCCCGGTCGAATATAATTAAAAAATTAAGTTCTTTAGTAAATTGGCATAGGGTACTATTTACAATTGCAATTTAGTATTTTGAGCGTTTGACCATTTGAATTTTTGACATTTAGTAAACGGTTTTATTTTTTATTTCACGCTAAATAAAACTTCATAAAATGTTTCCAAAAGAAAGAAAATAACGTTTTATATTTTTCTAATGTCTTTAAAAAAGAAATTATAACCATCAATTTGCATAATAACCGCTTAAGCATTTTAATAACCGGCAATTTATCTCACCACCGCACCGAGTCCTTAATAAATTATACCCTGACGTTGGAGAAATCGTCGCGCAAAACGACCGAGCCATAGATACAAAAGTTGAAGTTGAAGTTTGATATTTAGACATGGGTCCGATTCTTAGAGGATGAAAAAAAAGTCCGATTACACATTAAGACGCTTTTTCTTTTTCGGTTTTTCGTTAACTTTTTGCGTAGGATTACTCAATTAGGTTTTTATATGTATGAAAAAAAAAAACCAATAATAGGCTGAAAATGTTTAATACCAGAAAATAATTTATGGATTTTAAATTAAAAGTTCACACAATGAATACAAATGGAACAATATCTATTGTACACACGATTAAAAACAATATTTTGTATAGGGTCTCGAGTGCCGCGTGCTATTATATGCGAACACTAGTAAATTGAACAACTTCTGTTTATTTCTAAATTTTCCATCATAAATTTCAGTTGGATCATGAACGATTTGTATGACAAAGACTATAACAAATATCACACAATAAAATTTTATTGTTGTTCTAGTGAAGATTGCATCAGAGCTATAAATTTTATAATCAACAATCAAAGGTATACTTAAATCGTCCAATTTAATACGACCCTAAAATGTGTTTAAAATTTCTAAATAATACGTGTTGATTATAACGAGTATAATATCACACAAAAAAATAACTATTATTCATACTTATTTCATTCATCTAAATTAAAAACCAAACTTATACATACTACGACACCTTATATAAAAACATCAATTTCTTGTATAAAATTCAATACTATAATTTATACATTTGTAATATTCATATCTTTTATACACTTTTTTAAATTTTTATAATTAATCTGTTTGTGATTATATACATAGTTGTTTAAGTATTTTGTTTTTTTTTATATTTATGAGGTAATCGTACTTTTATTAATCTATAATTTGCTGCAGCTCTTTTGTGACGTCTGTTTCAATCAATATTTAACGATTTCATGTAAGGTAGCTTGCATAAACCACATGGCCCTTTCAAATAAGATACACAGACAAAGTGAAGCACGGGTTTTATGGAAGCTTCCAGTACGCGAAAGTAATAACTTGACTAAATATTTCTTACAAACTAGGGTGAATCGCATAGTCTACTATGATTTCAATCTTTATTTACGAAAGTTCTGTGATCCGACACGAGTAGTTAATTAAAAACAAATAAATAAATTCTATACATTGAAAATCTCGTTAAACACTTGAATTGGTTTATTCAGTCTTCAAAAGCTAAGAATCGTATGTCATTATTCGTTTGAGTGTTTATAAAAAATAAATAAAATTTTTTTAATGATTAATTTATGAATTGGAGTTATATTATATCTACCGTGTCAAGCCAAGACACTGTATTATCAAAAACAGCATTTAGAGAAAATGGTGCAGAAAGGATTGTTCTGGTTTTTGAAATTTTCAACATACATTTAAGTACGTTGTACAGGCAACAGCACATCAAGCAGTGCAACGGAACAAAATCCATCTGTGCTGCAGACTGTACATTACATATCAAAGAATTCTATCTAGTCATTAGAATTGACTTACCAAAATAATCTACGTGTGTTGAATAACTAATAAATTTTGATTTGCCTTGATAACAATGGAAAGATTCTTGTTGTTATGAAATTACAAAACACTATATTGGGACTTAGAGTGTTTTGGTTTAACACGGTAGATATGGGGTTATATATTTTGTCAAGAATAATTGACCAGTAACCATAGCTGGCGAGCTCGTTTGACTGATCGCAAGCTACAAAGGACATGTTTAAAAAAGGTAACATTATTTTATTTTATATTAACTATACTGTTTACGTTAGCTACGAGAATATTATTCCTTGATACAAAGTGAGACGAACAAGTCGTGCGTCGGGCATTAATCTACAGTTGCAGTGCCTATCAGAGATTTAAATCGCAAAGATATGAGGGAGACTGTCACTGCGCTAGTCATCCTGAGACATTAGTTGATAAGTCCCATGTACCTGTAATTATATACAGAGCGTCACACGGCTATGCTACACAGAGGGAAAGTACCTTAAATACAGGCTATTAATTTTAAAGTCAAAACTTCAAATTAATCATTAAATTTCATGATCTTCCTTTTACTCAAGATGCTGTTATTTAAAAGAAAATTCTTGCGATCGAGGCTTTCGATCAGTATAGTGAAGTTACAGGTGTTTTTTTTTCTCATTTGGCGGGTTCGATTCCCGGTTCAGACAAGCGATTATTTAAAAATTGAAATATGAATGCAGTTAGAGTTGTTTTTAAAATTAAAATGAAATCTTTCTTTAAAATGTTATATCTAAGGTATTTAAGGTACTTGCCCTGCGTCTAGCATAGCCGTGAGACGCCCTGTATATTCTAAAATTTTTTCTCATCGATTATACAAAATGTAAAACTACCATATTTTAAAAATGGCGCTTGACAATTGAGACCTATCCTCTTCTAAAACTGTTTTCAGTATTATACTGTCAGGATTTGCCTTTAAAATAACCCAGTTCTTTTTTAAATTCAGAATAGCACAATACCTGCTGTTAGTAAAAACGGACTAAACAAGTTGATACTTGCCTTAGTGACTAAGGATGGAAAGGAATATGACATACGAACTTTAAGCAAAACGTCGTTTTAACTATCCACTGATGTTTTCATTAAGTAGAATCAGAACAACAAACACAAAAAGTAACAAGTTGTAAACATGCAGTAAAACTATAGAATGTGACTTTATAGAGCACAAGGCCCTTTTGTCTATGGCCGCATTACATTTTCATGCGGCCGTAAGCAAAGCTACATAGACAAAAATCAACTTTTTTTTTCTCTAAAGAAATCAGTTGGGTAATTCTCAGGTTAATTTTCTCTACCTAATTTCGGTGGCAATTTTTATTATATAAGTATTCGAGTAAATTACCGTTGAATATTAAATAATATTAATAATCAGGTTACTACACTTGAATGTTAAATAATACTTCACGATAATATTCTTTAATATTGAAGTAATAAAAATTGACACCGAAATTAGATATAGAAAATTAACCTGAAAAGTACTCAGTTACGAAATAGAAAAGTAACACCAGCGAACAAATCGACTAAAGTTCAACAAGTTGAAAACAACAAATAATACTTTACAGGCTTGCAACACAAACTCTAATAAAATATTAAAAATAATAAAAAAACTTTCATAGTATGACTACATTGTCACAATGACAGATTAACTTACAAACTAAAAGGACGAAAAGGAGTTATGCTATAGTTATCAGCAAACTTTGGCAATACTAAATGACGTAATAGGGTTTTCAATGCGACGAATATAAACGCGTTCCATATATCGTCGGTGTGTTGTAAAAGGGCCATTTTTTTCGAAATCCTCGAAAATTTTCATCGAAAGTTTTTTCAGGTGAGCTAGTTAAAATATTTACGTCATAACGTTTTAGGGTTAAAATTGAATTTTAAATAAGACATAAACATTTTAAGACAGACGTGAAAACTTAAAACATGAAAAATTTTTCGGAATGTCGCTTACGCCTACAAGCCACCGAGGATAATAATAATAGAAAATTGTAAACTTAAGTATCTTGAGAAAGCTTTTTTTTTAAAGGAACGTTACCACATGCAGAAAATGTTAATGTTGTTCCGTAATGCTACATAATTATGACACCTATTATTCAGAGTATTTATGAATAGTTGGTACAGTATCTTGGCTTGGTTCGAGGAAGGACCGGCCCATATTGTTACACCACGCAGTCTGTCGAATGTCATAGTGGACCAGTTCAGTCCATAGATTTGTTTAGAAAAATAATATAAAATGGATTTTTTGAATCTCTAAAAAATTTAGTTAGGTCGTGGAAAACTCTAAGGCCGGCGCCCACCGACGGGATAACTTGGCAGGGGATTCTTCGGTAGTCCTAAATGCAAGCGCATACTGATGGCAATTATGGCGCGGTATTATTAGATACGACTAGGCATCTATAAACCTGCTTAGCATACTTACGCCAGGAGGCCTACCACGAAATAAAAAGCAACGATTGAAGATCGTGACTTGTCATATGTAAGTATTTGTGGATATCTTATTCCGAAACGTCAAATGACAGCTATTGTGTCGAATTATGACATTATTTTCAAAGTAAAACTGACAATTGTGTAATTACGTGTGAGATTCGTTGCGGACGCAGTGACGCAATATCGCATTTCGTGGTAGACCTCGTGGACTCTCTTCGAATCAGTCTTGCCTCTCCTCTCCCCACGTACACGCACAGTCGCCCTCGGCATTCCGTAGCATCCCGAAGGCTGACCAAGCATTCGGAAAGCTGTCCAAGCATCCCGAAGGCTGCCGAAGCATCCCGAAGGCTGCACAAACATCTCCAAGTCTGCCGAAGCATGCCCTAGGGTGCCGAAGCATACCCAACGCTGCAGAAGCATCCCCAAGGGTGCCGGCTCGGCAACCTTAAGCATGTCGCAGCTTTATTTTGCAGCTACGATAACTATCATTGAATTGCAACTATAATGACATAATCTTAAGGTATATTATGATTAATTTTCGATGTAAGTCAACTTAAAGTGATGCTTCCGGCTTTTAACGATTTCATCTATTTGATACACTGCATAATTATTGTGATATGAGCCGCACCACGGAGATGCTGTAATGTAATGTTATACCCCATTTAAAAACATACTTAGTAGAATCATACTGCCAAACGTGCTGACAAATTTAGCATATTTTATTTATTTATTTCTCCAAACACTTAAAAATATTACATCACATGTCACATATACAACCCTAAAGCTTAAAAATAGAGTTTGAATTAAATCAATTTAGCTAAATAAGTAAAAACAAGTCAATTATGAAACCTAATAAAACTTGTTTTAATTTTGACAAGTCTGTCTAAGGGAATAAGTGTTATTTTTTTATTTATGGCACTATTAACAACTTTAATAGGAACAATAGCGCTGTACATCTGAAATATTGTTTGTTAAAATTTTCGGGTAGTTTAAGAGGTTATAGAACATTGATGTTATAAGTTTAAAGATTGATTCTCAATGACTAGATAGACAGAAGGGAGTGACTGCATTGCTACAGTACACTTGAAGATAGCTTTATAAGTATTGCATGATTTACCGTAACGTACAAAAGTTAGTAACTTATTCCCTTGGACGCCAGACGTCCGCGAAATGGCAATGGCCACTTTGCGTTTGCCATAACGCAGGCCGAGGCACCGTGAGGATCGTCAATTGTTTTTAGCGGTTTTATTTTACATACAAAAATCGGGTCCTAAATAAGGTAAGGCGCATGACCAGGTAAGGCAGACTGTTGTGTTATATTTTAATATTGACGTCATTATTGACAAATCCTAGATATAACAGAAACACCTTTTTATGAGCTGGTTTTGGAAACAAAAATACAATTTCTTTGCTTTTTGGCCACAATTACATCGAACCTGGAACTGTTTGGAAAACAAACAGTGAGCAATTTTTTGTTGTTGCGAGAAAACTGCATAGAAACTGCACTTTTGCAGCAGATACGCAGTTTAACTGCACTCTGCCTACATTTTAGCTCCAGCCTATTTGATAAAGGTGTGATATGTTAATTATAATATCAGTCTACTACAAGGCAATACCTGGCCGGCGCGAGGTGTTCACCCAACATCACTTGCTAGTTGACGGCGTTTGAGGATGCCCTCGTTCTTCTGCAATATAAAAAAATATATATACATACCTGATAATCACTTGCATTACTATTTTAATTAACATTTTTAATAACGATCGTCAAAGCGGTATGCTTTGTCAGTTGATGCAAGCAACCGCATTTCGTCTTAGAGTGAAAACCTCGTATTATGCAACTTTGAAACTAGTATACTAAACGTAATTTCCTTAAGCCCTTATTGAAAATTTTAATTTAAAATATTGGAGATATCAGTAAAAACGAACTATGTAATAACGCGTATGCAAGATTTTCACTCTTAAGACGATTTGTCCTATTAACCATTAAAGCAATTAATATCTTATGTAATCAAAACATATATCCTGAAACACAAATATGACCAAACATTTTCATTTGCCATGCTAGTAAAGTTCAATTCCAAATTGGTTCAACCGGGAATCGCATTCCGGACCTCTTCTCAACGCTCGCAGTGCAAACCGTTGGGCCATCGATATTCGTTTTCATAGTTCAGGGAACGCCGTAGTTTGCGGTCAAGTAATTGGTGTTATTTGATACATTACTGTTATACAGGGTTATTTGTAAAATTCTAACAACCTCGCAGGACTTAGTAACATCATAAACAACAACTTTTGTTTAAATTTTTATTGAATTGACCTTCAATTATTTACGAGTACTCCACTACATTGTTGTAATTATTAATACAAAGATCAGTACTCAGAAAAAATTTCTTCGATCCGGCCGGATTCGAACCGATGTCTTCTAGCATATCGTGCCAGACGCTATACCAACTAAGCCACGGAACGAACCAGCGGACCTCACGAATTTTTGTATTTGGTTGGCGCCATCTATGAGAAATCTATGAAAGTATTTCGACACCCAGTTAGATACCTTTACAGCTACCAGGCCCGGCTAGAGATGTCGCTATTCACTGTATTTAAATTTTTAGTGAATTGATATTAAATTTTTATAACTAAATAAAAAAATAAACCCCACACTCGGTCCTGCGTTTTGCGTCGGATTATTTACGCCAGAGGGTTCGTTTGTTACCGTACAGACTCATCACCGTTTAGAGCGGATTATTTAAATATTTTTATTTTTGCACGAAGGTAGTCTATAGTAATTACTATCATCATCTTTGAGATGATGATAGTAACATAGACCTGCGAAGTTGCTAGTATTTACAAATGACCCTATCTTAGAGGATAACTGCCGAGTACCTCCCGGCTGTGAGGAATATATAAACACCACGTGGCTGAAAACTCATTTTGTTGGTTAACACTCTGTAGGAACAGACGTCTCTCGTCCTTATACAAATACATCGATTTTAACATGCTTATTTTCTTACCTTAGTTGTTTTTGATTGGTTCATTCATTTAGTGATATTTAACGCTTTCTTTTTAATAATAAAATCTCTGTTTAGTTTAGGTTACTTAGTAGTTTCTTCTTTTTAAAATTATCTGTGATTTTAATTTATAAGGCCTGCATATTTGATCCGTTCTGTACTTTCTTAATATACTTCTGAATATGTATAAAGTGATTACGAATTCAGCACAGTCCTTATTTCCTAGGCTGTTAGTCACAAATTGCACAACGTCTCCATTCAACAGATGACTCAATATTTGCGTATGCACCGGACTATACGTTACTGTATACAAAACAATGAACGTTCTTGCTCATAACATGGATCTTAATACAAACAGGGAGTGATGTCATGTGATAAAGTTTTTTGTTTGTCTTGTACTTATGTTTGTAAGTCAATGATCGAATGCTGCCGTCCACTAACTAAAACGGTTAAGTGACAAATGGTCAAATATCCGTTATAAATAGCACACACTCTTTTAAACAGTTAAAATTAGTTAACGTGTTCGACTTATCGAAACTTACCCTAACGTATTCAAAACTAGGTTCTGGTTTTTTTATGATATCTCAAAAAAATTTTTTCTCACTTAGACACGTTTTAATTAGCGGGCGGCACAAACGGTACTTGTGTCATGTTGATTTAGGGTCAAGACAGACTAAACATTATGCTCCAACATGCTTGCTGCATTCGGCGATTGCTAGCACGTTTTTAAGAGATTATTTATAGAAACATCAGTTCAAACGGCAGAAGGTTACCCCTGTGTAATGTAATTTAAAAATTAAGACCACAGACCTTTCAATTGAGACGCAATCTTTTTCCCACTTGAACTGTATCTACAGATAATTCTGCCGCACTCGGCGGTCTGTCAGGTGTTTACTGGTCTCACTACAATCTTTCAAGTTAGTATCCTTGTCTGATAACTTCCTCCTTTCTGGTTCAAGATGGTACACGAAGGTCCTACGCGCCACGAGATCTAGTGTTGAGTTACATGGTATTCTCATACTCTCATTTTATGGCCGATATAGTTGTTCTTATTATACCTTATTACTTTTATTGACCAAGCGTTATCTCTTGTGTTATATGTCAAAGTAGTATATAATGACAATAATGGACCCTATAAAACATTTCATGCGGTTGTACGTAATTTGTTGATAATAGTTTGACGAGTTGTAAATATATGTAAAGGTTATGTAAGAGCGGAATTTATACATAAGTAAATTGTTGCTCAAAAAGATATTTTAAGCAATAATCTTTGACATGCTGAATTTTTTTTTCAATTTGCATTACGCAGACGGAGCAAATATGAAGATATTTATATTGTGTAATAAAAGACATGTCAGTTTAATACACAATATAAATAATAAATATAAGACATTTTAAGTTCTGCTTTTTTTGCAGGTACGGCACTGGAGCGTGCTGTTGACAAGTGTGGTTCAACCACAAGATACTTACTGAATTGTCTACGGGCTTCCGCTCGCTCGTGGGCGTCGAAATACCATAGCGTGATTGCGTACCTGAAACGTAAGACAAACATTATAGCTCATATAACAATCGTCGTCGTTAGTTGATATTTGCGTGAGCTATACTCAAACATGATGTTCCTTTACGAGTCGACGTAACTTAAAACTGGGGGGGTAATGAATTATTTACACGATAACATCAACCTGAACTCATTATATGTCGTTTTGTAATCATAACAAACATTGTAATAGCAGTAAAGCTCCTTGTGAAAGAGTTCGTCCAGGGAAGTACTGCCACCTTACCTATTTCTGCCGCCAAGCACTAACGTCTGCATTACTGTGTTCCAGTTTTGAAGGGTAAGGTTGCTGGTGAACTTACAAGCACATGGGACTTGTCAAGATATGTCTCATATTTTTGCGATTTAAAGCTCTGAGTGGCAGTGTAACCGATATGGATAGGCGTGTAGCTTACCATCAAGCACACGGCTTTTTCGTCCCGTCACTTAATATTATAAATAAAACAATTAACTTTATGTTAATTGTGTACGAGCCAAAAAACAGGTCGCGAGTCTTCCGGAGAATTCTCCCGCAATTCTCGGTAATGTCCGCATCAACCGTATCGTATCTATTTTATACGTTACTCAATCGAGGTAAGGTTTATTATACTATGTACAATTTGGTTGCGAAAATTCGTTTCAATTCCGGTCCGCGGCACTGAGCCTTCGGGAATCGGGTCTTTTTGAGAAGTGGGTTTAGGCCACAATACGCCACACTGGGCTTAACTGTTTGAAGACTTGACGCGTTTCCGAATAATAACCACTATATAGAAAATGAAATTCTGAATTGAACTATAGAAACTTTTTCTCAAAAAAATTGTACTTATATATATATATATAAGTACTTAAATAGCAGTAGAAATTCTCATGAAAGAATTTATGGGTAATTTCCGGGTTAGTTTTCTCTACCTAATTGCGGTAGCAATTTTTATTATTTCAATATTCGAGTATATTATTGTGAAATATGAAATATTTCAGGATATTAAGCAATACTTCATGATAATATTCTAGAATATTTAAATAATAAAAATTCCCACCGAAATTGTATAAAGAAATCTAACCTGAGAATTACTGGCGTGCCGGTTTTGAAAGATAAGGGTGCTGCTGAAACTACAGGCACTTGTTAACTTTATGTCTCAGGGTGACGGATGCAGTGGCAGTGCCCTTCAGATCTTTGCACCGTGACTGTATGTTTGGGTAGGTATGTGGCTTAACACCAGGCTCAAAATTATCTCCGTGGCTAAACGGTTATCATGCTGAACTACCACGCAAGAGGTCTCGGCAGTATTTGTATGGCCTACATTTATGTGTGTGTCCAGGACACCCGCGACACAGGTTTCCCTAGTGCGGGGCTATGAAAAAAAAATGCAAAAGCTTTACTTTGTGATGTACGTACATTGACTTTGTACGTAAGTAATTTATTACACATCGAGTTTGCCGGCTGTCACAATTGCTATACCTTGGAAATCAAACTGTTTTGTTTTTCTGGTGCCGATAAACGTGTAAAGGGTCCGAAATGTTGGTCTATTTGAAAAATGCGTAATAAATATTCGAAAGACATTAGGAAGGGTCTCCTTATTCCTTGGTGCTGGGGGTCTACTCTCCTTCTCCGTTCGACATTTGTCCGAAACAATTACAGTGAAATAAGTAATATTCGATTAAATTCAAACACAATGTCAAATATGAAGCTTCATTTGTTCGAGTATAACTTATTTGACAGTAATTGTTTCGGGCGGATGTCATGAGAGTACAGGGCCTGTTTCAAATCCGTACCTAGTAGCGAAGGCGGGTTGCACTTCGTGCGGGTTCCGCCTGTCGGACCAGAAGAAAAGCATACGGTCGAAGATAGGTGCGATGTCCGCTACTTTATTCGTGCCCTCGGGGAATACTCTGTAAGAACAAAATAGCTGCATACAATACATTGTTTCTTATTTCCTATATACATAATATCAATGTTGTGTACAATTAATTATAATTCAATGTGATATTACATTTATAATGTTATATAATTATTTAAAATAATAGTCCAAAGTGTTGCCTGTAATCCGGTGTTATCTGTCGTCCCTTATTAAATAAATAAACATGGAACACGTTGTCCTTAATGAAAATACCAGTACATGTGAGCTTATTTATATCAGATTACAAATTATAAATATCCAATTGGCAAGTACAGTAAGTTAAGTTTTTGAAAATCACCACAGAAAGGTATTTTTGCATGCACCCCGCAAATGCTGAGTGGGTACCATTTTGAATCTCAATTTTTTGTATTAAGATAGTTACTTTACATTTGTCATAAGAAAATTAAAAAAAAAAAAATTATTTTGTTTTTTGTACTTTTTAAATATCAACTGTTAAATACTAAATTTAACACGTTCCTTGTGTAACCAGAAATCAGAAATTGACCCCTCACGTGCAATATTTTTATTTTGCAAATACGTTGGAATTGGTTGGAATATATTCATATTTATACTCCCGGACACAATTGGACTCTTATGGAAAAGACGTTTAGTATACTAGTTTCAAATTTGCGTAATAGGTTTTGATCAAACAAACATTGTTGAAGCTTATGGCACTTATTACTGAAAATGCGTTAGTGGCTTGAATTATGTGTCCGGAAGTGTATTTATGGATGGAAAAAATCATTTCCGTAAACCCCCTTCCTATTTTCTCAATTTTCCCAAGTGCCTCACATGTGATACACGCACGTATGAATTCTTTACTTGGTGCCACTTGTATGGTGCACACACGTACTAGTTCATTGCTTAATGCATCACATAGAATTCATGCACGTTTAGAGTTATTCTGACAGATGTTTTAGTTAATACATTTATGTATAGAAAAATCATTTCCATAAATCCATTAAAAAATGTCATGCGGGTGGACGAAGATTCCACCGCCGAGATGGAAATGTAAACATCGCATCACCAGTTAGCCCGTGACCACGGCCAGTGCAACCTGGCCGAAACGTCGGGAAACTAGGTAGGTGTGAAAAATAATTACTCGTATGTAAACGCAATTATTCCCGTTTCCAAATGTTAGTACAATGCAACGCGAAAAAAAAATTTTTTTTTCCATCAACGCTTTCCCATTTTCTCATTTTTCCCAAGTGCCCCATATACCTACAATTATTTTAGTTGTGCTTACCCGGTTTTTTAATTTACTATTGTGGGTTTTTTGACATTGTTCGATTGTCCTTTTGTTTTTATTATCATGTGCAATATATGCAAGTCGTAAAAAGTTGTAGTAAAAAAATAATTGTGTTTTATTTTGGCAGTGATAATCTGGCAACATTGTTTTTAATGTGCTTGCTAATTGTCGCAATTTTTGTGGTCCACACGTGCAAGTAAATAAAGATGATCTAGCTTACACGTGCAAATTTTGTTTAACGCTTAAATTTATAAAGGGCCATTCACCTCATATGTGATGCACTCACGTATCGTTTGAGCCCCGAAATGCACCATATGTGATGCATGCACAGGGAACGTGTTAAATTAATTTATTTGTGATTTACAGGTTACAAAGGCGTTATATGGTACATCTCTGTCGACATACACGGAAAACCGGATTTAAGAGCTGTTTATTATTAAGATTATAATTTCATTCGCGGTAGAAGTAGATCTTAAGTATGACGATTTGCAGCACGAAGTTGCATATAGATATAAGTGTTTTCTTTAAGTACGTTACACAAAAAAGACGTTAGTAATCAAATAATTAAAAAGTTAAACTATAGGATCACAGGCACATATCTAAATAAGACACCGAAAATGTACCTACCTCGCGTGCCCAATGTAAGCAATATAGTTGAACTTAATGGAATAGACGCATAAGTACCTAAGTAGTCCACCAGAACGGTCGATGTCCCAGTCAGTATTGAGGTAGTAGATTGCGGTGATACATCGGCCGTCCTTGTTCGGGTTGTCCACGTGCTTCACGTAGTGGCTACCAGATCCTGGGTAGCACGCCACCATCGCCTGCAGACCAAAACATATAGTGAATTTTATGATCTTTAGAAATTCATATACTTTTAGAAAATAAAAAAAAAGATTATGAATTTACAACCTAAACATTAACTAAGCACTAAGCTTCGTCAATGGGTATTATAACACTAAAACTGGGATCACAAGAAATTTCGCCAAAAAATCCCAAACTAAATTTAGAAACTCACTGCCTTTTAAAGTTCATTGTCCTTTAAAAATCCATTGAATTTATACAAACAGATATTATTAACATTGACCGAAATAGTACACTGACCTAGTATGGACTGATTACACCAAAGCGCGTAAATAAAATTATAAAAAAGAACTCGTAGCCTGGAAACGGCCAAGTTTATCGTAATGGTGAAGACAAAATATTTGCAAATAAATAATAATTAATAACTGCCAATTCCTTTTAGACCTTGAAATTATGACAACAGAATTGGCTTTTCATTTCAGTTAGAGTAATCAAAGTCTCCAAGGGACTCTCTTCGGAGAGTCCGCGCGGAAGCGCGTTAGGTGTTGCGGCGGAGCCTGCCATCAGATCCGCCGCGGGGGCTGGGGGAGCAGCCACTGAACTTCACAGTTGAGTGGATGCTGTCCTGGCCCCCCATGGCCCCTGGATAGCGGACTCGGGGGAGTTCGTTGCCCAGCATAAAGGGGCCCGGGATGGAAGGCTCGTCTGGTGTTCGGCGAGCCTCACATTCGGAGTCGGGGGACCGATGTGTCTCCCTTCTCGAGGAGGGGCTGCGCAGGGCGCGGCCAGCCGCTGGTGGGGGCGCGGACGCGTGCAACAGTGTACCCGTACCCCCACCTACAGCGGAGAGGAGGAACACTCCGGGGGTTTAGTGCGGTCGGGCTGCTCCCCTGCAGGGTTCAGCCCAGTCCCACATAACCCCGGCTCTGCCCCCGCGGGGCCGGGGTATCTGTAAGCAGATTCCCCCGGATTAACAAAAAAAAAATCAATAGAACTTATTTACAACTCCGCAACATGACGAGGCGTGAAATCAGATATGTCAGTCATTAATTAAAACGATAACTCGAAAGCGATTTAAGAGCATTTGCGTACAGCGTCTGAATAGTATAGTTCCGAATACGAAAAATGACGGTCCGAAACGTCACAGGGATCATTTCATCTCTAGGTGTACAAGCGATATTCGTATTTTCTCGGATTGGATTGGACTTAGTATCAGAAGCGGGACCGAGTTTTCTAGGTTCGTGTCCGAATCGGATACGCAAACGCTTTAAGCTTTATTTTTAATGAAAAAAATCAGGAGGTTCTCAATTTCACTGCAGTTGTTTGTGTATGTTACGCGATAACTATTGTGAAAGGTTCGTCCAGGGCAGTACTGCCACCTTACCTATTTCTGCCGCCAAGCGGTAATATGAGCATTACTGGGTTCCAATGTTGAAGGGTAAGGGTGATTTAAAACTATGAGTGGCACTGCTATGGACAGACGTGCCGCGTCATTTTCTAAAGCTGCAGTTTCACTTTTTACTTAGACTTTAAAGAAACTACTATAATCGCATGATGATTAAAAAAAAGGGTTACGGAAGCAACGCAGAAGAAATTTCGATCAAATTCATATTGAAATTTAATAAAAACATACACCGTGCAATACCGCTAAAGCCCCGCTTCCGGACCGCGTCCCGCCGCTGTCGCTTTGTGTGGACGACTACGTGGAACCAGTGTTGCCAGACCTTTGCGAAGTTAATTCGCCAATTTATGTGCGCCAAGTAGCCGATATTCGCCCACGCCAGCGTTGCCAATGTTCTTATTTAAAATCCCTAAAAATCAAAGAAAGCAGATTTCCTATTCCCCAATTCAACACAAATTCGCCACTGAAGTTTGTAATTCTCCCGACATTTTATTAAGTAGCCTAAATATCGCCAAATCGCCGATCGCTTTTTTGTCGCCGCATGACTCCCCGAAATAGCCTAAATGGCGAAAAATGGCACCACTGAATAGAACTCAAAGTAATACAACTCCCTCGCCCGCACCCGCTCCGAGTTCGCCCTGGGCCCGGCCCTCGCTAATTTCGCCTGTTTGTTCGGCCCTGGACCGCGCCGACTCGTCACCCGCATGCTGATTTTGATCCATATCGGAATAGATCGGGTAGTCTCGAAATCAGATGGGTTTCTGAGCGAGAAGATGAACCTGATTCCTACTATATCTTTCTAATTTGTGAGTTAAATCAACTATTGTTCCGATTTGAAATGTCAAAAGTTTCCGATCGGCCAGTTGTGAATCGCAATTACACGCCTCGACTCGGAAGAGACGCAGTTTCCGATCGGGAGAGGCAATCAAAATCAAGCTGCCGGTTTCGATGTGTGCATAAGAACTTGACTTCACAAAAATTCCACGACCCGCTACCGTCTCTATGTGGCCAGAGCAGTATCGAACAATTCCGCCATTTGTTCATCAATTAATTAACAATATTATATAAATCGTTACTAAAAATTCAAGACGTACGAGTACGTTAAAAGTTAGCATTCAAATGTTAGATAACCTTTACACAACTTACAAATTGTTTAGTCATAGTATGAACTAAAGCACTATTGTTACATAAATTTATGAGGTGCCTTGTTATATATGACACTGCACGTGTTTGCAGTGAGTGTAAATAATTCCTAAATGTGCACGAGTTTATTTATGAAAATAAGTAATAAAACTATGGGCGGTCTAGCCGCTTCGTTCCACGAGGCATAGTTATACGTAGATACCATTTTATAAAAATCTGCATGGTACTTAAGACACATGTTGCGAGAATATGAACAATAAAATTATAAATATGATTCTATGCAACAAAATGTAAATGCGTAGATGATGAATTTTTATTTACTTGTCTGTGGGGCTATGGGACGGATACAGGCATGGTTTAAGTCAAAGTCATTGACTTACAAATAAAAGTCAATGGTCAAAATCAAATAAAGTTTATTTCAAAATTAAGCCAGATTTACTTTTGTCTAACGTGTCGTGTCGTGACGCGTCAGAACGATATCGGTAACGATATTTATATTGTACTTCGTTTCAATCCATTTTGAACAAAAAGTAAACAAACCGGTCACTGACCCGACCACAGACGGTTTAGTGATGGCCAACTGTAACGCCAACTACAAATCGATTAATTAATTGAATGAATCGATTTGTTCAATTGAGTCATACTAGCGGTTTTCCTTACATAACCTATATAAGTTTATTTGAAATTTCAATTTAAATCCTCCGTCAAATCCTTACACTTAGATACTCGTTCGATTGCGACTGAAATGTTCGATTTAATAATCGATTACTAAACTTTAATTGATGCTATTCAAATGAATATTGTTGGAAAAAGTGATGATATATCAAGTGGAAATCTTCGAAATATTCGTGAAAGTGATACTTATTCGATTTATTGAGTGATTGCTTTAGAATTTTAACCAAACAAGTTTGTTTAAATTTTGTTCAAAATGGATTGCAACAGACTACAGTATGAAACCGATACCGTTCTGACGCGTCAAGACAGACAAATGTAAATCCGGCTTTACACTTGAAATCGTCGTTTTGATTAAACTCAACAGCTCATTCGTAAGGCAGATTTTAGAAAAATGAACAAGAAACTAGGGGTTGTATACATTTATCATTTACAAAATTTATTTCAAACGTCATCGTCATGGATCGAGACAACGGGTCACTACTACGGAATTTTTGTTTCACTATAATTTTACCTAAACAAAGGTGCAAATTTTGAACATAAAAACAGGATATTCCTTTTTTATGTAAAGTAGGAGGCAAACGAACAGATGAGTCACTTGAAGGGAGGTGTTCACCGTTGATCATGGACATCTGCTACATCAGATGAGCTGCCTATGCGTTGCCAGCCTTTGAGAGCACTGGTGACACGCTTTTTGAAGAACCCCGTGGCATAGAGCTACGGAAGTGCTTCAGGAGGAACACCATACCACATCTAGCAGGTTCGATGAAGGAATAAACGTGATGCCCGTGTGTGTACTCCCCATTATAAAGACAGTAGATTAAACACATAGAGCCACTGATGACAGAGTTGACGTCTCTCTGTAGAATAAGGGACTCAAAACCGTCTGTGAGTTTGAATCTTATTATCGAAGCGTACACGTTGCCTCTTAAATGAATTTGTGACTTCGTGAACGCGATTGTTAAGAACAGCCATTTCTTACTTCTCATAGTAATGGTATTAAATACATAGTCCATCAAACTGGACTGTATCAATACAAATTAAGATGGAGAGATAACCATATTTAACTTTTACCATATTTATATAACTGCCTCGGTGGCCGAACGGTTACTATGCTGGACGCAGAGGTCTCGGGTTCGATTGTCGAGCCGAGAGAAATATTTGTATGGCTTACATTTATTTCTCTCGTGAGTTTGGGTGTAATTTGTAGTTATCTATGTGTGTGTCCATGACACCCGAGACACAGTGTTGTCCTAGTGCGAACTATGAGTGTGTGTACGTTATTGTATGTGCGCGTTATTATATGAATTATTTAGGTGTATAAAATATAGACAGATTGACAGCAACAATTTTATGATTACCGCGGTATTTATCGTTACAGTACTCTGTACCCAGCAGTACATCAAACGGAAGCCATTACAATAGTAAAATCATAACCCATATTTAAGGGGTAGATAACGCGGCGGAAGTGGGTGAGTAGGGTATTTGTATCTCACTAGCTGACCTTTGTATGTCAGAGACGTTATATCTATGACGTCAAGATCGACAAGTTAACAAAGAACACTGTCATACTAAAATATCAGTTATTATAGTGTATGTGAAAGAGTTAATTGAATTGTGCTCGCACAAAACAACCATTACTTACAGTAAGCCACAGGTGAATCTAACTGTCACTGTCTTATATTGTAACACCTGTAGAGCTAGCACGGCAGGGCGCGACTTGCACGAGAGCGACATAAATTGCTTGCGCGAGATCTCTATGCGATAATAGCTGTATCTAGCGTTTTTTGTCGCTCTCGCGCT